GTTGAGAAGCACTCTTTGAGGCACTTCAGCACTCAGGCATTTACAAATTATGTGCTTCACTCGGATATTGATAAGGTCTGTGATATCCCCAACCTGACTACGGCTTGGGAGACTTTCAGGTACAAGTTTCTCCAAATTCTTAACAAACATGCTCCGTTGGTTAGATTTAAAACTAAAGGCAACCGCCCACCATGGTATGATCCTTTGATTACAAAGCTCATGAAAACTAGGGACAAGGCTTTGGCATGTGCTCAGAAAAGTAATGTGGTAAATGACTGGCTAGAATACAGGATTTTAAGGAATAGATGCGTAAAAAAATACGGCATGCAAAAAATGCCTATTTTTCCTCCACTCTCCTGGAATCACATGGAAATGCCAGGATTTTTTGGAAAACAATCAAATCTATCGAAAAGGCATCCAAAACAGAAAATCTGCCCATTGAGCTTCACCGAAATGGGGAATATTTTTCAGATCCCAAAAAAATAGTTGACAATTTTAACCTTCATTTTTCTGAAGCTGGTAATCTTTTTGATAATGTATTGGGAGTCACCCCTGCTCCTGCAAATTCCTACACCCCTGTCCAAACATTAAACGAATTTAGTTTCCAACCAATCCACGAAAGTAATGTTCTGAAACAACTGTCCTACCTCAAAGGGTCCTCCTCTACCGGAGCAGATAGTTTTCCCGTCTTTGCTCTACTAACTGTTGGTCACCTAATATACAAACCTATAGCCCATATTTTCAACCTGTCCATCAAAGAAGCATCAGTTCTTCTAGAATGGAAACATTCCTATGTCCGTCCACTTCACAAAGGGGGCCCTAAAGATGATCCCAATAACTACGGACCTATCTCAATTTTGTCCCCATTGATGAAAATTTTTGAAAAATTATTGAACTACCAAATTAGCAGTTTCCTGTCCACCAACAATCTACTACATCTAAAACAATCTGGGTTCCGGAAAAAATACAGCACCACATCTGCTGCATTAGACTCTTTGAATCAAATTTACAATAGCCTTGATAATAAGCAGTACTGTGCCTGTCTTTTTCTTGACCTGTCCAAAGCTTTTGATACAGTTGACCACAACACCCTGCTTAGTAAACTAAGTTGCCTCGGTTTTTCCGAGAACACAGTACAATAGTTAAAAAATTACGTCTTTTCTCGCACCCAAACTGTATTCACAGATGGTTGGAGGTCAAACAGTGTTAAGATAACAAAAGGGGTTCCACAGGGTTCCATCCTCGGCCCCCTCTTGTTCTCTCTTTATGTCAATGACTTGGGCACTGAACTGGATCATTCCAGGGTAAATCTTTTTGCAGATGGCACGATACTGATTACTGCTGGCCGCTCTCCGGATGACGTGATTGCTAAGCTCCAGGGTGATTTCAACAAACTACAAAATCAGCTAGTTTCTCTTAAACTTGTCCTGAATACCTCCAAAACCAAGGTGCTATGCTTCTCTCCGGGACTAAAGCAGGAAGTTATTTTTCCCCAATTACATTCCTTGAATAATTATCAAATAGAGCAAGTCAAGATCTATAAGTATCTTGGGGTCATCCTGGATTCAAACTTAGTTTTGAAGATCACATTGATTATATTGGTAAAAAGACAAACATAAAAATTGGTTTTCTGTATCGACACAAGCACTGCTTCCCCCCAATGTTCCGTTTGGAATTGATAAAAGCTACCATACTGCCTCTACTTGACTACTGTGACATCGTGTATAAATCAGCCCCAAGTACGGTACTGAAGAAGCTTGATTCCATCTATCACTCGGCCTTAATATTTGCATTGAACTGCCCATATAGGATTCACCACTGTGATCTCTACATTGGGTCAAACTTAACATCTCTTAATGTTCGACGGCTTGTGCACCATATCTTATTTATTCACGATGTACTTACAAAAAATTCCGCAGACTACCTACTGGATCTCCTCTCTGTTTCAAAGAACAAATTTGACCTCAGGTCTTCGCTCATTTACCAGCTTCACATTCCCTATTGCCGTACAAAAACTGGAGGAAGGGCCTTTGCTATTGATGCCCCCAGGGTCTGGAATGCTATTGCCAATAAACTGCAACTTGAATCACTACCTATGAGATCTTCACTCAAAACTGCTCTAGAGGAGTTGTACAACCCTAGCTGCCATTGCTATTCAGTGGCCTAAAATATGGCTCTAGATTTTGGTGTTATAATTTATTTATGTAGTTTATTGTTAAAAATTCGGTCACAGTCCCTATGATCACTGTTACATTGGATTTATGGCTTTTATTTTGATGATTTCGAAAAGTTTTTTTTGTTTTGCCCATGTTTTTGTTTATTGTAGTACGGAGTTAGACTGATGGCCTTAATCTTAGTTGTCTTGTGGTTGTTGTTGTTATTTGACTTGCATCCCACTGGGATTTTTGCACACAGCGTTGGTGTACGGTGCTATTTCAGGAATATTTTGATATTTTTTCCTGTATTTTCTGTTTGCACAGTCACATAATCACTTTAAGATGTTTTCTTGTTCATGTTTTTTGTTTGTTGCGGTTGCACCCGATTCAAGAGCCGAATGGCTCACAGGGCTATACCAAATAAATGAACTATGAACTATGTGGGAAATACATTTTATCACAGACTGACGTTGTGACGCGTGGTACCTGTGTGCGTGTGAAGAACGGTGGGGCAGCGATCGGCGTACGACGGTGTGTGGGTGACCATAAATCAGTGTGGGTGTGACGCGCGCGCACATGCAAATAAATAATTAAATAGAGGGACGCTTGACCGCGCCGCGAGCGTAGCACGCACAGCGGCGAGTCAAACCATTACGTAATCCACGCGGTTAGGACACGCGAGTGGTGGTAGGCATGCGCGTAATCAACCCCCCCTAGCAGGCTCGGCCCACCGCTAGCTATGTCGGTCCGAGAGGACCCCGGTACGGGGGGGGGGGGTCACCGGCTCGGGGGCACGGGGGACCCCGAAAGACACAAACGCGGAGGGGACGGGGGTGGGGGAGGCAAACATCACACCCCTCCTGCGCGTGGAGGGGGAGATCAGCCCCCACCAATTAGACGTGGCGCCCCCCCCGCTCGTGGAGCGTGAGGGGGGGCACCAGCCCCCACAAATTAGATGCGGTGCCCCCCCGCTCGTGGTGAGTGAGAGGGAGATCAGCCCCCACCTAATGGGGAGTGGAGAGGGGGGCACTAGCCCCCACACACCTACCCATCATCCAAGATCTCAGCAATGTTCCTAACCGCCGACTACTCAAGCGCCGATCCCTCTTCTGGGATCACGCTGCTGTCACCATCATGGAATCTTACCCAGATCCGGAAGAGCGCCGGCGAAACAAAGCGGAACAATGTAGATCATCCAGAATAAACGCCTCATTTTACACCCAAACATCGCACTTCCTGGCTTCGACATTCCTCCTCGAATACACTGGTGGAACCATCAACTCGCTCACCTAATCATTAACGCACCTATTCACGCACCTACTCACCAACCCACTCGCCCACCCACTCACCACTGGTGAAATCATCAACCGCATCAAAATATTAACAGGCTGATGCGCACATCTGCTTCATGAATGGAAAATTAAAGACACAAGGCACAGTGCGACTTTGGCCATGCAACCCAAACTATGAGCCATATAGTAAGTCGTCTGCACTCCTTTAAAAGAAGAATGAAAGGAATGACTACACAGACCCTCTCTGAAGCCCTCTCGTGGCGAGCAGACATCGACATTGACATTTGATGTAGGTCCTGGACATTTTGCCACACACAAGAATAGAATCATTCCTCCTGGGTTAATACAATTGTCCTATAAATAGACTTGCCTCGACATAGGAATGACGAATTTCTACCACTGGCTCAGAGTTGTAAACGGAAAATGACCACCGCATCAGACCTCTTGAGCAAGAAATTAACTGACTTTTAATTCACTTATGTATATGCGCCTGTGACGAAAGTGCCCCATCTCAGACGTGCTTGTGCTAAAGTTGAGCCGCAGCTGAGCATTGATTTCCTTTCACAGAGGTGGGCAGTGAGCAACTCACGCGATGAGCTGCTCAAATCTGATCTGACTCCCGCCATGCACTAAATAATTCACACATTATGATGGGTCTGATGATGGGACAAATCATAAGATGATGTGGCTCGTGATATGGGGCGCCACGGTGGCGAGATGTTCACTACCCTCGACTGGTATACAGGAGGTCGTGCATTCGATCCCAATCCTGACACCTGTATATTTGTAGTTTTCATGATCTCCCCATGGTCGCGTAGTTTTGTATCCAGGTCCTCCAGATTTTCCCTCCACATTTAGAAACAAGCGTTGAGAGCAAGGCCGTAGCCATGGAGTCAACATGGGGGGGGGGGGACCAAATCTTCCAGGGTGTCTGGGGGTCCCAACCCAGAAAAATATCTAAATTTGAAAACGAATTTCCTGCCTAAAATATAAAAAATTCACTAACACATGGGATAGACTTTTTATTAATTTTTGACAATGTCTAATCGTGTATTGTATTACATTGCTGTTTTTTTTTACCATTTCTTGTTTCATTGTATGTAATGGCAGAGATTAAGGATTAATAAAGTACAACCATAACCACAAACATATAAACAGAAATCTATGCATTGATTTATATGAAGACAAGTCCAGATATTGTGGCCAAGGTTTAGCAAATTGTTTTTATTTACATAGCATAGCAATTATTTTTATAGCAATATATTGGGGGGGACATTTTGAGCATATTTGAATATTATAATTACGGCCTTGGTTTAGAGTATTTGGCCGATATCAATGTCCACATAAGCCACTTAATTGGGCTATCTGTGGCCAGGTCGCTTCTGAAAAATAGCTATATAGCGAAGTGGGCCTTACCTGGTAAATTAAAAAGTGTAGTTTTATAACGATGTTGTTGGATGTATTGATGGATACACTGAATTTAATCAAGCCACTGAAGACGGCACTACGGTACTGTGTAACAATATCAAAGACGACCTCCTAAAGATGTGGAGCAGTGAAGTGTTAGAATATTTGCTATTTTATGTTGTTTACCCAGGAAAGCCTCACCGAACCTCAAGACTATTTCAAGATTTTGCTGCCACGTTTTCGCACAGGTTAAGATTTCTTGATGTGGAATTCTAATCGAGTAATTTTTCAGTACTGTATTGGGGATGTTTGGCCGATCCCAGTGACATTGTGTATGTTAAACTTCTTTTGCACATTACGTAGCCAACCGTGCTAATCGGAGGCGCGGGGGTAGGACAACAAACGAAACACAAAAAGCCAGTTTTTTGTGTGGGTTTTATGAACTCTAGGATGAAACCCATGTACAAGAGGCTAAGAAAATCCACACAGCAAGGCGCTTGAGTCGGGAAGCGAACCCATCTTGATGTGTTACCACTTTCCTGCCGCCCATCACGACGACGATATTGATGCAATGTAAGTGACACGTCGCCCCCTCTGTTCGTTACCCCGCAGCCCTCTGTCCTGCTCCGAGAACGCGGCCGTGAGCAGGGAAGTTACGTGGATTCTCATTAGTGACGCCCTCGTCTCCCCAAGACTCCCCTCTGACGCGCACTTTGCAAACCAAGTGGTGGACTATCCACGCCCCGCCCCGCGGGGACGCCCCGTTGGCTCCGCGATTCGCTGCGATGGAGCGGTCACGTGAGCCGTGAATTTTTACGGGAAGCGAAGAGTTGCTGGCGGGAAAGGTTTGTGGGCTGGCTGGCTGGCGGGCCGGGGGTGAGATAGCAACAAGAGCGGCGGTGGTGGCGGCGGCGAGATCACACAAAGCGAGCAAACAATAGCAGCTACACAGCCCGCGACTCGAGCAGCAGCAACAGCCCACTCCCCACGTGGCTGCAGTGTCGGGCTGCGGCCGCAGCAGCAGGCATGGAAGTGAATCGACTGCCGTAGCAGCAGCAGCGGCGACGGCACGAGAAAGCAAAGCAAGCCGCCTCCAGGTTTGTTCTTGTACACTACCACCACCGTCGTCAGTACTCCACGGGCTTATATATACGCTGCTGGATGAACGCATGCCCAAGTCGTCGCTCCGTCTCGGCGATGGCTGTCGCTCCGTGTGGAGTTTTGACCACCGCGTCGTGTGACGACCGCTGCATTTGCGAACTCTCGCAGAGCAAAGCGTTGCGTCCATATTAAGAGAACGGTACTTAGGGGCCATCCATTTAGTACGTACGCAAAAAATCTGCCAAAACTTGACCCCTCCCTATACGCACGCGAACTAACTGCGTATGTACGCCTGACGCACCCCCCCCCCCCCGAATCCTATAGAACGGCCGATATTTAATCCACGCAGAGACGATCAAGGATACAAAAAAATATGAACGTGTTTAAGCAAACAGATAGCCCGCCGCCGGACTATCCAACTCATTTGAAGGCCTTTGTAGACAAATTATTATGATCGAGGCTTCACCCCCCGTTTCCTATGCGTACATTATCAGTAGACCCCCCATACGCAAGCGAACGCATTTGGGTTAACCCCCCTCCATGCGTACTCAATAGATGGCTCCTTACTGTACGTGGAAGCCGATATTCGGTGAATTGAGGTCACTTCCAAGTGGCCTCTCATCCAGCGCAGCCAGTTTCCCATCGCACACGACTACGGGGAGTAACGATTGTCACTCGCTCGTCACTCCCTCTACTTAGTTGTTGCCGCCGTGCCGTCGTTAAGTTTATTTTGTTTAACCCAGGTGAGAGAACTCGAGACCAGCATGGGCTGGGGCATGAGTCGGCTAGCAGCGGGCGATGATTGCCGCTGCTGCGTGATCCCAATGGAGTAAATTTCTATGTTATTTTAGAATTTGGCAACTTTTTAGACATTAACTCTTAGCGAATGACAACCCACGACATCTTTCGCGTCCACTCTATGAAGCAGACGGCTCCCTAGTATGCTTTGTACACACGTAGAGTTAACACACCCACAGTATTAATCGGGGCGGCCGCTGGGATCAAATCGTGAACCGCTTGCGACACGCAGCGAACTCGCTAACCGCTGGGTGCCCCGTCACCATCACATTGAGGCCACCACAGCCCCGGGTTCAAACTCAGGCGGTGCCGACCCAGCGAGCGCACGGGGAGCCTCTTGAGCGGCTGGGCACCGCGGGGTACCCGCCAGAGTAGGCGACTCCAGTGGCCGGCACTCGAGTTGCACAGCACTCTACACATCGCAGTGCAGTACTGGAGCGCGGTGGTGATTCGCGTGACACGTGTTGATAGATGTAGGACAACGCGAATACTGTACCGGACCCTCCTGCATTGCTACTCTATAGCCTCTCAGGCGTAGTAGCGGATGAAAACTTTCTCCGCTCCTGATAAAAATATATACAAGTTCCGTACGTGCATTTGGTAATTGCGCCATTCCTACAGAGCGAAGGCTGTCGTGAAGACGCAATGGTTATGCTTCGTGAGCCTTACAGAACCTGTTTTGACTTTAGTCGTCTACTGCAGTGACAACTCCCGAACAGTGACCGGCAGCAGTGAGTTCCACGTAGGTGGGCCGCACATCACTGACGTGAGCGAGAGTGAGCGGTGGGTGTATTGGTTCGTGCGTATCCTGATGGGCCTCCCCTAGTTCGACTCAGCCTCAAATGAGTACCCGGTGCGGTATGTAAACATCGCCTCTCGGGAGACAAAGAGCGTGGTGCTGACCACCCACCCCCTCGTGTGCCGTGCCGGCCTTCATAGGTGCTCGCTGACAGCACTTGCCCCAACAGTCTGTTAAGTCTATGCGGGGGATCTTTGTATTTTTGTATGGGTGAGCACCTACAAAGGGCGGTACGGCACACGGTGCTCGTAAACAGCACTTGCTCCAACAGTCTATGTGGGGGATCTTCGTCGCTTTTGTCTTTGTATGGATGAGGTAGTGGGTGAACAGGTGGGTGGGAGAGTAAGTGGGTTTGTGGATGGGCGAGTGGGCGAGTCGGTGGTGAGTGGATGGGCCGGACACAGCAGAGCTGCGTTGCGTGGACGATCAGGTCACGGGAGTTGATGACCAAAGGGCATTGTCGGAACCTGGCAGCAGGCACTTATCAGCCAGATAGGACGGTGCACATCCTTCTAAACACGAGGAGGCGAGCAAGCACAGTTTCTAATCGACTGCTGTGGGGCGCGCGGTGGCAGCTGCGTGCATAACAGAGTGAAGGGGGGATGATGGTGAACATCATTCAGACGTTGATGTGCTCACGTAATGTTGGGTGATGTGTGTAGGTGATGTGCTAATGTAGTGTTGGGTAATGTGTGCAGGTAATGTGCTGATGTAATGTTGGATGATTTTGTGCAGGTGATGTACTGATGTAGTGTTGGTTCAAGTGTGCAGGTGATGTACTGATGTAGTGTTGGATGTGTGCAGGTGATGTACTGATGTAGTGTTGGATGTGTGCAGGTGATGTGCTGATGTAGTGTTCAAGTGTGCAGGTGATGTACTGATGTAGTGGTGGTTCAAGTGTGCAGGTGATGTACTGATGTAGTGTTGGGTGATGTGAGCAGGTGATGTACTGATGTAGTGTTGCGTGATGTGTGCTGGTGATGTACTGATGCAGTGTTGGGTGATGTGTGCAGGTGATGTGCTGATGTAGTGTTGGGTGATGTGTGAAGGTGATGTACTGATGTAGTGTTGGGTAAGCAGGCACTTATCAGCCAGATAGGACGGTGCACATCCTTCTAAACACGAGGAGGCGAGCAAGCACAGTTTCTAATCGACTGTGCTGTGGGGCGCGTGGTGGCAGCTGCGTGCATAACAGAGTGAAGGGGGGGGGTGATGGGGAACATCATTCAGACGTTGATGTGCTCATGTAATGTTGGGTGATGTGTGTAGGTGATGTGCTAATGTAGTGTTGGGTGATGTGTGAAGGTGAGGTACTGATGTAGTGTTGGGTAATGTGTGCAGGTGATGTGCTGATGTAGTGTTCAAGTGTGCAGGTGGATGTACATTGATGTAGTGTTGGGTGATGTCTGCAGGTGATGTACTGATGTAGTGTTGCGTGCAGGTGATGTGCTGATGTAGTGTTGGGTGATGTGTGTCCAGGTGATTTTTTTACATAGCGCTGGGTGACTTTGCAGGAGAAATGGATCCGATCTCCCTCACAATTTACTTGAAGGGGATAGGGAATAATGCCTTTCAAGAGGGCCGCTACCTTGAAGCCCTCCAAATGTACGAGAAGGCTCTGCAGGTGCGCCTAAACTACTCCTACTCTTTCGGCAGGTATGGTAAAATGCAGACACAACTTTATTTTTCATCTATTTATTTTAAGGCTTTTGGGGGAAAAAAACATGCAACAGATAATACAAATAACAAATAATAGTGATTTGTGAAATCTAATGGACAAGTCCAAATGGCATTTGTGACATCTCAACTGGTCATGTGTACGTTGTAATGGATTGACTGACGTTGACACGCAGATGGCAAAAATCAGCTGGAGATAACTTGGCTTGTTACAGGATTAAGGAATGTCACGAGCGAGCGTGAATTGTGCGATAGCGACGCAACGGGCACTTGAGAAAGGCAGCCACGGCGCACTGTACTTGTGAGCAACGATTCCGAGGCGTATTATATTGAACCGTTTCGTTGATCCTAGTGTTCTGTTGATGACGGTTAAATATATTGTTTGCTCGTCGTGCAATACTCTGCAACGTTTTTGTTGCCGGCTGGTTAAACGGCGTCTTCTGCGTAACACATGAAAATACACTTAAAATTTGTCGCAAACTGAACAATTTTCCCCCAAAATCAAGATAAAATCCCATACCTGGAAATAGTTGTGCCTCCCCTACCTGATTACTAGTTCGTTTTCGCTCAGTACCGTGTCGCGCTGTCGTCCATTTTCTATCGCTGCCTAACACTAACCATAATTCAACTAATGGAACATATACTGTATCCAATTGTTTATGAATACTACGAAACATTTTAATAGTAATTGTTAACAGAAAGCAGTCACTTCCGAATGTTTACCATGCATTAGGCTAGGCCTAGACTTCTCCGATCATTCTTGGCTGAGAGCATAAACAATAAAATTGTAATTGTATGAAATAAAGTACCTACAGTAAATAACTCATGACATGAAACTCATGAAATTTACTTAAAATGATGAAAACTAGCAATAGACAGGCACCGAGAGTAAACAAAATAATGCAGAGATACAGGAGAGACACAGCGAGACAAAATACAAAGACAAAGATCCCCCAATATAGCTTTACCAGACTGTTGGGGCAAGTGCTGTTAGTGAGCACCTACGAAAGCTGGCACCGCACATGAGGGGGTGACCGGCTAGCACCATGCCCGGCTGCCTGTGTCTCCCAGGTACTTATTTGAGGCTGAGTCAACCTAGGGGAGGCCCAGGACCGGTTCAGATAATCGTCACTGGTGGTGGCCGTGAACGGGAATCGAACCCGGCTTACTAGGTTCATAGTACAGTGCCGCCAACCACTACACATAGAGACAGCCATCAGCTGGGTCCAAGACGTAATAACAGGTGATAATGCTTCCCCTTGTAGGCCAGGCCTATGCCAGGAGGTGTTTGTGCTTTCCTCGGATGAACTGTTGCATTGGCAGTAATGACATGTTTAAAAAAATATAAGAAGACCTTGGCTGTAAATTATTATGTGATTCATTAATCGGTGCAAGCGGATTTCAGTTAAACAAACCCTGAGTCGTAGCATTAAGCGACTGCTCACGTGTGACTCCTGGCAGAGATGTTTCCCAGCTCTTCTGCAACATGGCCATGACTTACATCAAGTTGGGGAGTTACGCAGATGCTGTGACCGTGTCACGGAAGTCCATCGACGCTGACCAGCAATGGTACAAGGTATTCATTACAGGCGGCAAAGCCACACCTTTGCACGAGTCATCATAATCAACAACACAAATGTCGTCTCTGTAAATATGTACACTAATCAGATGCTACGGTAATTCATATTTGGGGTAATCCTGTGGCATTGTGAATGGCTTTTCAAATGCATTTGGAAGTTGTGCCATCATGTGGCCCCACGGAATTTCTTGGCAGCCCCCAGGAAGAGAGGCCACTCAACAGTAATGTGGGACGCTACGTAGACGGGGAGACGAGGGAAACACAGGCACACACAGAGAGAGATGTATGTGGGGAGCAGTACTGTCGTGCTTGTCATGCTGCGTTACAAACCCGATGACCCGAGTTTGAGTCCCACTCATGGCCAACACCAGTGACCATTATCTGAACCACTCCTGGGCTTTCCAGAGTTCGACTCAACCTCAAATGAGTACCTGGTGCATTGTGTAAACATCGCAACTTGGGGAGACATGGGCAGCCGAGCATGGTGCTGGCCACCCACCCCCTCGTGTGCCATGCTGGCCTTCATAGGTGCTTACGAACAGCACTTTTAGGCTATAAGAGGGCATCTTTGTCTTTGTGTGTAGGGTTACTATCGCCTGGGCGAGGCGTTCGCTGGGCTGGGCGAGGCAAAGGAAGCAGTCGCTGTGCTACAACAGGGCCTGGCTGTCCTGCTCGTCTCTCCTGATCACACCATCATCCACACCATTGAATTCCTCATGGAAATATTCAAGGCCATTAACTGTTAGTATACCTTTGTTTTTTTACTCTCTGTAGACACTGAGCATTAGGTGCGATGTTATCCAGTTGTGGGCAAAGCGAGGAGCGCCACGGTAACGGCAACGAGGCACGCAGCGTGCCACACACCGCAACATAGGCACGTGTGGGTTTAGGCATAGAGGTCACTTACTAGATAATGTGGATCTGTATAGCATGTGTCTAAATGTGCTTTCATCTCAAGGCGCTGTACGGAGACGTTGCACGTAGTTATTTTGGAGACATAGGGAACGCACACACATGAACACCGCGTTCCTCACTAGCAGCTGAGACACACATGCACTTGTAGTGTTGTAGAACGACACTACTGTGTTGGCTCGGTATGGGGGCTGTAGGCGTGTGTCTCGGAGTTCGTGTCAGGCCATGACACTCTGCGTGACCCCATAAGGACAACGTGACTGGATAAAGGGGGGCCAGGGGCCCCAGGGGGGTCACGTGGTTGGGGGCTCGGGCCTTCCTGAAGGATCGGGAAGGGGGGGCGTGGCCTGGGGCGGAGCCGGCCATGGGTGTGGACGGAGAGCTGGGCTGTTCTGCTGGGTCAACTCTGGGATGAAGCTATACCATCTACGATCCTCGGTCTCCGGTCCAGAAATGTATCCTGGTGTGTTAGCTATGTTAGGAATGGTGGTTACCACCCTATGTCGTTATCCTGTTAATGTTAAGAGTTACCTGTTGTGTTTAGCTAATAAATAGTGTAAGTTCGAGTGTGCGCCTGAATTTAACCCAGTACACACGTATTAGTACACGCACATGGACGCCACTTTCCTCACCAGCAGCTGACACACGATCACATAACAACAACCGCCATTCACCACTAAGTGGCGGTGACGTCACCACAACGCTTGTTTCAGGCCATGTGCACCTTGAGGCCACGTGAAGTGTTGAATGCCTGCTGGCAGGAGGTCACACGGCAGACCCAGTTGCCACGGGTCGACTAACTGAGATGACCGAGATGACTGGCTGATGCACCACCTGTGTCCCCTACTGTGCCAACTTGCTGTGCTTTAGCCACCCGGCGCTCTGCTCATTGTTGTGAGCGTCGCTCCGCCCTCCGTTGTTGTTGGAGGGCGACTGCCTCCAACTGCCCAGTAGTGTCCTTCACGAGTCTCCTCCACAGAGGCCGATCTTGACACCACTGGTACCAGTCATCAGCAAGTCCACTCAGCTCCACATCCTCCTGTACCACGTCACTCCATCTCTTCTCTAGCCCATACCGCGCCCGTTTAGCCCCCTCGATCCGGCCGAACAAAAGCTGTTTGGGCATGCGGTGATTGGGCATGCGGGCTACATGGCCCAGCCAACGGAGCCTTGCCTGCCGGAGGTGCTCACCGATGGGACTTTGTCCAGATCTTTCGAGGATTTGTGAGCTCGCACAATCCAGCCTGATTAAACCCAGGATTGATCGTAGGCAGGCCAGCCTAAATGTTTCTAACCGGCGAAGATGTTCCATTAGGGGGGTCCACGTTTCGCAAGCGTAGAGAAGGGAGGGAATGACTGTGGCCGATAAGACCCGAAGCTTCGTGCGGAGCGACAGACCAGGTAGCTTCCACACAGCGTTATGCAACCGATGAAAAGATAATGCCGCTCGACTAATTCGGAGTGAGACCTCTGCTGTTAAACCGGAGCCGGTCATGAGCACACCGCCCAGGTATGGGAAACTCTCCACTCCCTCCACAACTGCCCCATCACCGATTGGGAGTTGTGCGGGTGGAGTGCCCGATGGTACAAAATACCCAGGCAGGTGCTTCGTTTTGGTGGGGCTGATGGTAAGGCCCCAACTCTTAGTGGCACACTCCAGTTTCAGCAGCAGCACCTCCAACTCCTCCTCTGAGTGAGCTGCAATCACCAGGTCGTCGTAATACATAACGTGGAGCCATCCCTTGACTGCACCCGGGCATCGAACAGCCTCCCATTGTATCTGTACCAGATGGAAATTCCTCCGGTACAGCTACTGAAGGCTTCACGAACTACATGGTCGAAATAGATGTTAAATAATGTTGGAGCCAGAGGACATCCCTGTAGCACCCCAAGGTGTACAGGGAATGACACTGACTCCCGGTCACGTAGTTTTACCCGGGCCTCCTCACCATCATGAAGGTCCTTCATGAGTTTGAGCAATGGGTCAGGGACTCCAAAAGCACGAAGAACAACCCAGAGCCCAGGCCTATTGATGGTCAATAAAGCAGTGATGTAGGTCTTGTTGGAATTCTCTACACCTCTGCTGTAGCAGACGGACAGAAAATATGGCATCTGTGCAGGACGGCCCTTTCCTGAAACCGCATTGGGGCTCCGCAAGCCTCTCCTCAGCGTGCCTAGCAAGGCGATGTTGAATAATCCTTGCCAGGACCTTTCCCGGCACGCTGAGGAGTGAGATGCCCCTGCAGTTACAGTCTGTGCGGTCCCCCGTCTTAAAGAGGGGGACCACCAGGGCATCCTTCCAATCTTGCGGAACCCGTCCAGTGGCCCAGACTTGTTATGATGTCATGTAGGGCAGTCTGCGCACAAACGCCACCCTCCCTCAGTATTTCGCTTGGGAGATCATCTCTGCCCGGTGCCTTTCCTGGTCTCAGACTCTGGATCGCCTTCAGTACTTCCTCAACGGATGGCACCTCAGCCAGCCACTCACAGGGGGTGACTTCCTCCTCTAGTATTTGAGGCACCGCAGCCTCAGCAGGGTCATCCCCACTTTGTCCCATGATGTTTTCCAGGCTGAGGGAGTCCCCCTCCCCCAGGACCTCACAGAAATGCTCAGTAAATCTGCAAACCTGTTCCTGGGGGTTGGAGATTGGATCACCGTTCTTTCCCTTAATTATGGTAATAGGTGTGGCGCTGCTGGTTAATTTTTTGATGGAGTTAAATAGGGATTTGTGATCACGGACCATTGAGGCAGACTCCATCTCCTCAGCAACCCGCGACCACCACCCATCCTTGCAGTGCCTCATGGCTCTCCGAACCTCCGAGCGGAGGCTGCGGTAAGGCTCCTCATTCTCTGACGTGGGATGCTGTAGACGATTAGTGGGCCAGTCGCTTTTTCTCAACCATCCTGAACACCTCTGTCAGCCTAGGGTCTCTGGCGAGGTCTGGACCGTGTACCCAAAGCAGCCATTGCAGCTGCATGAGTCACAGTCCTAAACCTCGCCCATTTCCCCTCGACATCAGGAGTGCGGGACGATGTCAACCCCAGCCGCAAGCGATGATTAAATTCTCGCTTGCAACTTCCATCAGCTAGCTGAGACCAGGCCACCTTAGGTTGGAATGGGGTCCTGGGTGTACACCTACCAACGGAGTGGAAGAATGGCAGGTGCATCTTACAGATGACAAGTCAATGGTCAGAGGGCAGATCAGCTCCACAGTAGGTCCTAGTGTCAAGGACATGGGCTCGCATCCACTGGTCCGTCACTATGTAGTCCAGCAGATGTTCTTGCTTGGACCCGGCATGCATCCATGATGTTGTGTGGATGCGCCGATGCCGGAACAGCATGTTGGTTATTACAAGCCCATGGGCTGCACAAAAATCTAGCAGCGTCCTACCGTTGTTATTGAGCTGATCTGGCCCATGCCTTCCAATCACTCCAGACCAGGTGCCAGCATGATGACTCTATCCTGAGATGACTCTATCCCGAGGGGCCACTTTAGCCAGCACCTGTGACAGGAGGTCATGGAAGGCATCTGACTCATCGGCTGTGCCTGCATCCCTCCAGGGATGTTCGTCTTCGGTGGGGGCATAAGTAACCACGACCACCACTCCTCGCCTCTGGTTGACGGGAAGGCGAGCCCAAACTAGCCTGGGGCTTACAGCTTCCCACACCTCACCGCCACGCTCCCACACCCCCTTCACTATTTTGTTCAGAAGAAGAGCCATTCCCTGTTGTTTATCAGTCTCCTGCCCCGAGTAGAGGACTGTCCACCCCTCATGAATGCCACAGAGATCCAGGCGGTACCGGTCCAGCTCCTGAGAGGAGTGGCAGCCTCTCCTCCGCAGTGAGCGTTCGAACATTCCACGTGGCCATCCATAGTGGCTTTTTGTTATTTCTGGAGGAGCCCCAATCACACACACATACACACACAAATGTCAGTTTTCTTAATATAATTTTTCCCTTCGTTTTACCCCTATGGTGACAATGCTATGTTTTGTCTTTATGTATGCTCCCATGCTTTAACTTGGTGGCCTCTCTGTGTTGGCTGCAGGCAAGACCTACAACAAGAGCCTGTTTGTAGGGATTCTCCGGATGCTTCAAGAACAACCACTGCTGCACACGGAGAAAGTGTGGCACCACCTGCTGCACGAGATGGCAAAGCAGGGCCTCTGGAAGGCACGTGTGGCCAAACTGCAAGTCATGCATGCCAGTCGTGCCTGATGCCTACGGGCGCGGCATCTCCTGCTCAGCCTTATGGGATTGCCACCAAGCGCTTGTCATATTTTCTGAAAGCAAGGAAACGTATGCAGCACTGTGGAGCATAGTACGGCACAATGATGGGGTTTGCTACACTCCATTCTGTCGTTAACGTAGCGCGTATATTGACACATGCAGCGTTCACGTCGTAGACGCACGCGCTTAATGAGCGATATTTAATATTGTGCGATCCATTCAACGTGTGCGCAGTTCCCATGTAATCATGCCCTATTCGAATTAACAGCAGTGTTTTCCAACGACTCGTGCTGGTTTACCTGACCGATGTTAATGCTTGGGGGATAGCCCTCTGTCGTGGAGTGTGGGTGATGTTGGTTTTGATTTGTGTCCGGTGTGCAAATAACAGGAGATGTACATAGTGGTGTGTACGCCCGATGACCTCCAACCCCTAAATTCCGTGGTCGGAGCGGAGCCAGCATTATTCGTCAATCTCTACTCCCTCTTTCAGGTGGGTCGATGATTTTATGATGTGGCTGTAGAATTTTTTTGGTCACTTGTGTTGTGGAGGTCATTTCGTTTTGAATTAGTTTTTTTTGCGATTGCCCTAAAGAGGTGAACGTGTGACTCAAGAGGTCAGGGTGCTGAGCCGTCGCCACTCAGGGTCTGGGTTCAAATCCAGGTAGCCGCCTGTGATTAAACTGGGTCTCAAGTTTAGGGAGTTGATGATATATTCCCAGTTACCAATGATTGTACAAAAACAACATCGTAATCAATTTGCTTATTTTGTGAATTTGGGTAAATTCCGCGTCTGGCTTAATAAGCTCAGGTTTACTGTCATGTGACGAACATCACTGTCGATGGCAGAGCAGGAGGGAAAGTGCTGTCCCCTACTGTATCGAATAGATGTCGCTTGAAGGAATCTCAGGTAGTTCTGTGTTATATTCTTCCCTGGGGCCTTCTCTTGACATGAAGAGTTGAACTAATTCAAGCGTTTTACCATAGGATGACCATTTTTAGCTTTTGACGCCGTGTTCATATTATCAACCACATTGGGATGATGAGTTGCATTGACCCCATGGTTGGGATTTGAACTGCCATACTCCCAAGTGCAAATCAAGTGCTGTGATAAGAGACACCAAAGTAACTATGACATGTGCAACCATCGTCAGTCACGATCTATCCACTGCTGAATGATGGCTCACCAAGCCATCTTCCACCGTCGTGCGAAACGGCAATCCATCTCACTCTTAAACACCAGTTGCTTCCAGTGGTCTGTCTCCCAGGTGGTCGTCCTCTCAGCTGTGTTTCCTCCTTCTGCTGCCATTTCCACATTAAACTATACTATAAACTCTATGTTTATTTTACCAGGTAAGGCCCACTGAGCTGTATAGCTCTTTTTCTGAAGTGACCTGGCCAGATTTGATAACCCAACCATGTGGCTTATCATGTGGAAATTTATAGCGGCCAAATATTCTCAACGCATGTTTCTAAATGTGGAGGGAAAACCCGGAGGACTCGGGGAAAAATCCACGCCAGAGAGAACATGCAAACTCCAAATATACACGTGTTGGAGTCAGGATTGAACCCACACCCTCCTGTATACCAGGCGAGGTAGTTCATATCTCGCCACCATGGCACCAATCTCGACTACCGGCCATCGTTCCTTTTTGCAACGACTCCTGCCCAAGGCCAGTTAGTGTCCTTAATGGTCAATATGATGCCTTGTTGTATATATAGGTTGTAAACAATAGGAATGTTGTGTGTAATTAGTGAAAAATTATTATTTAATTAAATGCAGTTATTACGTGTTATTACGTGTTATTAATTGGTGTGCTTATGATAAATGACAATTTTTTATAAAGAATAGTTATTCTGACTTATGAATTCAAGGTCATTTAGTTAATTCAATTAGTTAATGAATAGATTATCGTATTCATCACAATTATTAGCTTTCACATTGTCTAGGGGTATGTATTATCAATCATAATATCAATGATTCTTGCTTTCAGCATTTACTGATTCTCGCTTTATCAATTATTGGCAATTATGTCAGGTCTCAAAATTCACATCTCAACGCAGGATACCGTTCTCGCAATTGAGAAACATGATGCATAAGTTAAGAAGGTAGCACTCAGACCCTTCTTGATCTAAGAAACTTTAATATCAACTTACGTTGACATCCAACATTACTTATCAAAGTAGAACTACAATACACATGGAAGTAATGACGACTTGACACACTTTATTGAAGACACGTTCACTTGACATCGGCGGAGACCCCACTGCAACAGCGCCGAGTTTCCCTTATAACCAACCGAGGCCGCGCCCCCCTTCCCGAACCTTGTCGTTGACTGGACGCTCGCTTCACCGGCAGACTCTGCCGTCCTCTTCCGTCACCTGACCACGCTCCCTTCTCGATCATTCCCGTCGCCACCAGTCCCTTTGCACTCACAACTGATACCCCTGTCATTACCTTCCGTGGCCACTAGTGCATTCGCACTGTAGGCCGACTCCCCTGTCGGTGATTGTTCATAAGATCATGCAAAATAGTAATATAAAACCTTTTGACCCTGAGCTGCATTGCCATGTAGTCGTATGTTCTCATCAAAGTTAAAGTTTAATACCATGATCAAGAATAAAAATATGCGGTAGCTGTCATTATGAACGTTTCGACTCCAAACACCAGGATGTATTCTAAATTAAAGTTCAGATACTGAGTATGGCCGGTTCCCTGTCATCGGCACAGTTATAACAGCAGGGTGCCCATTTATGGCCTTTCTGGTGATGCCTGTGCTCAAGGAAGGAGTTTCACAGGTTCATGTAACTTGTTATCATCCCAAGCCATCATGCCTGTTTGTTTTCCAACTACTGTGCTAATTTATTTTTTGCTGCATCTGGTTTTTCAACTCTTGGAACGCAATGAAAACACAAATGTCTACAAGGAACAGACAAGATCGCATTTTTTTATTATTTTTTGGAAAAATCAAATCTACAGCAACCTCTAACTAACTGGTGATTATTCTCTAATCAACGTTGTTTCTCTCCCTGTCTCTCGGTGCATTCCAACGTATGCCTCACCGTGCTTCTTTGCGTAATTTCCAGCTTTTATTCCAGTGGTTTCCGTCGGCCTCCGTGTTTCTCATCCATGTCACGGTGGGGTCTTATTTGGTGATTATGATCTAAGCAACCTGCCAAGTGGCGCAGTGGCAGAGCAAACGGCTCCCAGTCAGAGGGCTGTGAGTTCAAATCCTGGTTGGGAGTTGATTTTGCCCATCACCCCTCAATGTTTGATAAAATGAGCACCACTTTGAGGATGTCAGCAGCGGTTGTCATATGGATAAACTCGCCCCCACCATAGGAATGCAGAGTTTCCACCACTGGCTAGGGGCTCTAAACAGGAGATGAGCACCGCTTCAACTCATTTGGGGCGGGAAACCACTTTTGACTTAACCTAAGCGAGACAGTTTCAAGGGAGGAGAGCTGTGATAAACTGGCGTGTGAGGCCCCTGTGTTTTTTGACGAGTGCCCTTTGTTCCCACAGCTGCTGGCCCCGGGTCAAGAGAAGTGGATCTATTTTTTGGTTATGTGGCTCATCAGCCACGGTGCCAAGCCCGCCTCCATCGGTGCCAACCCCTTGCACGCTGTGATGATTCTCATCCTTCACATGGGCATTTATTGTAAGTAACAGAAGTACGCAGAGTGATTCTTCATGGTACAGTGGGAAGAGTGTTAACCCAGGTTTACTATTGTATGTGTGTATGTTGAATTTATTTTGCACCGTATGTAGGCAACCGTGCTAACCGGAGGTGCGGGGAAGGACAACAAACTAAACACAACCTCGCAGTTTCTAAAGACATGCATTCTCAATCTTGATTATTTAAAAGTGCATCGTGCCAGTGGCTTCCTAATGTCGGAAGAAAGAGTGTTTCAAACGGCCGCAGAAGCACAACCGGAAGCGCACGATGCAGTGACCGTCTTCATTGTTAATTCTAGTGTTCTCTGTCACACTGGAATTATTGAAGGTTGTTTGGGATAAAAATTGAGAAATTAAGTAAATTTAAGTGCTTCTGGAAAATTTAATTCAGGAATGTAAAGCCACATTGCAATGTGCCAAAATAAGAGTATTTTAATAACTACATTCCCGCAAATATAAGGGGGCCAAAAACAAACATTTGAGTATTTTTCTAGGCACAAGCATAGTTTCGCCCGTGTAAATACAAATTGTCACCTAGTCGTACTAGAACAGCCTTACAATGTATGTGAAAATCACAAACTCGCTTGCTCACTATTGGCTATACACATACACATGAGACGTGATCTGCATCTGTGCTATATGCCAGTGTTTGTCGATACGTGAACTGCTGATGACACATTGAAAGTCAAAACCAGTCCAGAGGTTGCTTGTATTAAATCAATACTGCTGAAACAACGAGATGCACAAAAAATACTTTTGTTTGTGGAGTGATAGGCACGTGGATGAGAAGCATTGTCAACTTCATTTGCATGACGCCGCATTAGAGAGAAACAATTGAGAAGTTTGATCATTTCTGAGTTTTAAATGACACGTCCAAAGTTTCCACGGTGGTGTTAATGAAGATGATGATGACGATGTGTGAGCATGGCTGACAGTGTGTGTAACCGCATCGCAACGCCGCTTGTCTCTGGGTGGCAGGTAATTTCTGGCTGGTGAACGAGCTGGTTTGCAAATATGGGGTGGACATCAATGACCAGGATGCACAGGGGCAGACTGTCCTGCACCTGGTGGCGAGGACGCGGTACTCCAGAGACCGTAAGGCTTCTACGAACGTGCGTGGGTGGGTGTGGGGAAAATCAGAGGAGAAGGCGCCCAGGAGGAGAAGGGGTTTTAGTATCGGTAGTTGCAGCCGGGTTGCCATTTGTGTTGGAAACCTTCGAGTGTGCGCGCCTCGTAGATTTAACGACAAAGAGAGGTGTGTGCAGCAGCATTGCGTGTTCTACAGCTCTTGGGCCTGAACCAGACCACCAGTTCAAAAGAACTGAATGCTCAGAAATTGAGTGTTAATGTGCGTCTCAATGGAATCAAAGTATGTACTTATGTCTGTTGAACTTCTTTCGCACCGTGCGTAGCCAACCGTGCTAATCCATATCCGGGGCTCCCAGGGGCCTATAGAAGTAGTGGACATTGACTACTTTACTCTTGATTACTCATGAAGACGAAACCGATTTACATTTGTGTCTTTGTTTCACTGCTTCCTTTGGCTGGGACAGCCACATTTACTTAACCTTTTGAGTTGGTGGTCAAAACGAAAATATTTCCGCACGTTCGGTTCCTTTGACCAGGTGGGTCTGGATGAGGCTGAGAGTTTTTGTACGTGCAATGCTAAACGCCGCTGTGTGTTGTAAAGTCGATTTGTTTCCAGTCTGCATTGATGTTTCGGCTCTGATGTGTATTCCCGTGGCTTACAGATTTGAACCGTTAACAGTGATTTACAGTGTGAAATGTTACCGTTGATCGCAGAGGCCATTCGTGTAATTCAGATCTGATTGGCTCTAGTTTTTCTCCATAATTGCACTTTTGATCACTGTGGTGCATTGTTGCTTAGTGGAATTTCCATTTTGTTTCCCCCGTTTTATTAATCATTTGCATTTACCCATCTCTCGCACAAAATATATCTCTACTCTTTGGTTCTTTCGGTAAAGTCACGTAGGTAGAAAATAATAGATCACGACGTTTCGATCGCAACACAAGCGACCATCATCAGGTGAGACAATCACAGCAGGGAAACTGCTGAAGCAGGAGAGAGAGCTGCCGTGACAAGAGGCTATATAGGTAGGGTATGTGGGCGGGGCTAGAGATTGGAGAGAGAGGGGACGGGGCAGCAAGATCGGTGGCGGCCGGAGAGCTCGCCAGAGGGAGAGGGGGGGGGGGCAGAGCAAGATCTGCGGCGGACGCTATCGTTGTACAAGAAATCCACGATACAGCCACAATATTTTTGATACGTGAAGGATGTATGTATATATACATACAAGAATACTCCGATTTACATCTCCCCCTTTTACGCTGTTTCGCAAACACGGCACTTGATTGACACCGCTACCGGATTTACGCTTTTATTTACGTTGTTTCCATATTCGTCGTCGTACCTTTCAAGAAAGCATCTCCGACATAAACCAGGGGCACCACAGTGGCAAGATGTGAACTACCTCGCCTAGTATGCAGGAGGTTGTGGGTTCCAATCAACTCTTAACTCCTGTATATTTGGAGTTGAGTATTTGCTTATTTAAATTTGCATATGATAAGCCACTTTGTTGAGCTACCAATTGAGGTCACTTCTGAAAAAGAGCTATATAGCTGTGGGCCGTACCTGGTAATAAATATATATTACTGTATCTCGCAATGCCTTGGCCAGTACAACACTCTTGTGAGTGGATACATTTAGTAATTTTGATGATGTGATGATGGTGGCCATGGAAACGGTGAATCAACTGTGCGTGCGCCAGCCACTCAATAAGGAAACCTTGAGCGGCGTCGTTGATCGCATCACTAGGCGTGCGCGTGCGTACGCTTGGGTCTTAGCGCGAATGTCTGCGTGTGTCACGCAGTGCAAGTGGAACAGATCAAGCTGCTGCTGCTCCTGGGTGCGAGCATCCACATTCGGGATATTTCTGGCTTCCTCCCCTACGACTGCATCCCACCGGAGAACACTGTGGCACGAGCTGCTCTGGACCCCCGCTCTCGCCACACTGCTCCACGAAACCAAGACCCCCACACTCGCCACACCGCTCAGCCAACCCAGGACCACCCCCGCTCTCGTTACACTGCTCAGCCAACCCAGGACCCTCGCTTTCGTCACACCGCTCCACCTACCCAAGATCATCGTGGGGAACAGCAACACCCAGCTCGTGCGAGCTCGCTGCGTAGTACCAGGAGGAACGAGCAGAGCGCGAGGGGTGAGGATGCACAGGGACGTGGTGGGTAAGAGGGTGGTGGGCCCGCTTGACGGGGAGGAGGTAGGAGGCCCAGTGCTCAAGTGCGTTTGCATTGGTGGAGTTGCATTGGTGGAGTTATGGAGGGCAGGATCGGTTTGCTTTGCGCTGCAGTTCCTCTGATTCCCACCTCACGTATTGTCAGTGGACGCTAATCGCCAGCAAACTAAGCAACATAATTCGTGGACACCAAAACTACTCTCAGGCAACCAGATAATGCCTTTAATCTAAAGATTGCATCATAGCACACTTGTGTACAACATAAACGTTACGCAAAGGCGACCGACCAATGCAGAGAAAGCAATGCACGGAGAATGCTAATATTATACTCTTTGGTTTTAGTCGGTAAAGTCACGTAGATAAAATAAAACAAAATAAAACAATTAAATCACGAAGTTTCGGAGGCAACACAAGCTTCCGTCTTCAGGTGGAAGGTCGTCTCTGAACTGTGCTCCTGACACAGATATTCTGCGTTGACTTTTCCACCTGAAGACGGAAGGTTGTGTTGCCTCTGAAACGTCGTGATTTAATTGTTTTATTTTGTTTTATTTTATCTACGTGACTTTACCGAATAAAACCAAAGAGTATGAAACCTTGCAGTCACGAAAGCTTCAAATCTAGAATGCTAATATTATGTGAGCGGTCACTTAAGAGTGGCTCTGTAGCATGGGGTGTTGCGGTGGCGAGATATTAACTCCCTCGCCTAGTATGCAGGACGTCATGATGCCTGTATATTTAGAGTTTGCATGTTCTCCCCATGGTCGCGTGGAAGCCAAGGCTGTTGAGAAGCTGAAGGAGGAAAACTTAACTAATTAAACTATTTTTATTTTACTAGCTAAGGTCCATTGAGCTATATAGCTATTTTACATAAGCGACCTGGCCACAAATGAAAGCTCAACAAAGTGGCTTATTGTGCAGAAATTTATATCAGCCAAATACTGTAAATGCATGTTTCTAAATGTAGAGGGAAATCTGGAGGACCCAGGGAAAATTCCACCCTACGACTGGGAGAGAGACATGCAAACTCCAAATATACAGGGGTAGAGTCGGAATTGACCCATGACCTGTATACCTGGCGTGGTAGTTAACATCTCGCCATTGCGGCACCCCTCATAGGTGCAATGTGCCAGCCTTCAGCGGCGCTTGGGAACAGCCCTTGGCTGCGTGGGCTACACGAGGGATCTTTCTCCATCCTCCACATCTCTGATTAGCACGTTTATCTATGTACCGTGCGAAAGAAGTTCAACGTACATACATTGTTTCTGTGCAGCGCACAGTAAGAGGCGCTCGCCGGCGAGCAACGCCACTCCCGAGGACGATTCCCTCCGCGAGGTGCTGGAGGAGCTCGCGGCACTGGCGAAGCGCCCGAGTGAACGTCGCTCCCTTGCGCAGCACCCAGCCACCAGGAAGCTGCTGTTGTGTCTCGAGGACCTGCGAGGTAGGGCCTCTGCAGCGATCTATCGGCACTGAGCGTCGCGTACGCGTTTACCCAGGCCTGCACGCCCGCAGCGCTTTCTCTATCTGTCAAATCCTTGCCCCTGCTGCTGTGGCTGTGAGACCCTTATTCCATGCCTTGCGGCCCTTCCTGTCACGGATGTCCTCGAGGCTCGTTTTTGTCATTGTGTTGGGCCAAGTTATTTCAACTTAAGCTGTGCTGTGGTGTCGCACTCTCCCTTCTCTCTTGAGTTTCACTTCCTCCTGCCTGACCCATCCACGTCCGCCTTCTACCCTTACGTAGTTTTGTTGTTATTTTTTTAAAGCGTCTTGGTGTGCGAAGCCGCCCTGCCCCTCTCTCTCTGTGCGCGTGTGCCGCTGTAGAGGTGCCTAGCGAGGCGCATGGTCTGGTGGGGCCCGAGCTTTGGACCGAGCTGCTGAAAGAGCTGCTGAATGCAGGCGACTGGAGGCACAGCCTGATGCTGCTGCGAGATGGGGCGGCTGCCTTGGCTGCGCAGGCCGACCTGTCGGAGCTTTCCATGCAGACCGTGCTCCCCCGGCTCCTGCCCACGCGCGGCTTCAACAGCGCCGGGCTGCTGCTGCGGGCCCTGCTGCGCTGTGGGGGTGTGTTACTTGCTGGCACCGCGTACAGGGGGATAGTTTGTTGTCCTTCCCGCGCTCCTCCAATTAGCACGGTTGACTACGTATGGTGCGAAAGAAGTTCAACAAGCATACATACGTACATACGCTGCTCTCAAGCAACACGTGCATGTGAATTGCTCTGATCTAACACGGACACCCCAGGGACGTAACACGAGCACGTTCTGCTGAAGGTAAACATATCGAGTGGCAAACGTGAGTCTCCTGAGAATCATTCGCCTGTGCAGCAGAAGGCCTGTGCAGCAGAAGGCATGTTCAGCAGAAGGCCTGTGCAGCAGAAGGCATGTGCAGCAGAAGGCATGTTCAGCAGAAGGCCTGTGCAGCAGAGAAGGCCTGTGCAGCAGAGAAGGCCTGTGCAGCAGAAGGCATGTGCAGCAGAAGGCATGTGCAGCAGAAGGCCTGTACAGGAGACGGTGACGCAGCCAAGGCAGGGGGTTGTAGACCCTTCGTGAAACCCACATATTTAACTTGGCTTCTACAGTAGACTCTTGATAATCCGTGCTAATGACGAGTAGGACGGCCACGGATTATTCAAAATCGCAGATAATCCTAAAATATACATTTTCTGCGGATCTCTGCCAAAACCACTAATAGTTTCGTAAATTAAAACTCACAAAATAAATGATCGGATAAATCACTCTAAATGAAGCACAACTGACGATTTCGATTGTTATTCTTTCGATTTATAATGAATACTAGCGATCGACCGATTGATGCACGTGCACAATGATAACTGCTCTTGCGCAGAAGACTCGGCCCACTAAGTGGATGACAGCAGAGCCACACCAATCAGCATCAAACTCCCCCCACTGTTGTAAAGATATGCAACTACTCTACTGTAGAGGCGATCACACGGACTTCGGATTAACCGGAGTACATATTTGTTTGCTTTAAGCACGTGACGTGTAATAAACGTTTCCAAGAACAACAATACCATTTTTAGATGATTAATTTGGGCTTAAAGGAAAATACATGAGTTATTAATTTATGTCAATCTCAGGTGGTGGTTAATCCGCTAATCCGATAAACCGCACACGGATAATCAAGAGTCTACTGTACTTAATTACTTAGAAAATATTACTAACACTACCAGTCAAACGAGCACACTGCCACTGCTGCATTCTTCATCTTATTTTTATTTGCGTACAAATGTGCAGCTGTGGATGAGGGCCTCCCCACGCCATGTGGGTTGTTTGTACTTCACCACGCTGGTCAGTCCGGGTTGGTGAATGTGGGGAGCACTAAACACGGCAGACTGTTTTTTGCTGCGCTGCCTATAATGCTGCTGTCCACCTCATAGCTGCGCAGCAGCCGATTGCACCCGTGATGCATAGTAGTCACCCATTCCAGTACAATCCAGGCCTAACTTTGCTTCCGAGACTTGACAAGATCGGGTCCACTCCGATTCACGAATACATTTTAACGTCACACTCATTGCAAAAAGTGCTTCCCACAAATGAACCACAATACCTTGCTGATCTTGTGAAGGAGCATGCACCATCACACGAACTCCGGTCATCCTCGCAGCAGCGGCTTTTGGCTGGCCATTGAACAAAGACGGTCACTGCATCGCACGCTCTTCCAATATTAGGAAAATACTGGAGCTATGCACTTTTAAATCTAGATTGAAAACTAATTTCTTTAGAACTGATTTTTGTGTTAAGTTTATTGTCCTTTCCCTGCACCTCTGATTACCACGGTTTGCTACGTATTATGCGAAATAAGTGCAAGATACATACACTGGGTGATTTGGTCACAGAGCATGGAGAGATCACATTTCCAGACCTGAAGTGGGTGAGGCTGGTGCAAGTAGTGTGTGTGTACAGCTTGCATGTCTGTGTGGTGGGTACTTGTGCATGGATGTGTGGGTTTGTGTAGGCGGATGCTTGTGTCGCTTGGAAACATGCGTGGTGCAGCGTGCGTGTCACCGGTGAGAAGCTGGCCCGGTGGCTTAGAGGTCAAAGTGATAAAAAAAAGTTCTCAAGTGTAGATGTTTGATGGTCTCGGCCTTGTCATCAGTGACGGTATGAAAAACCCATCATCTCAAATTTGGTTCTCCACTTAATTTCGGTGAATTCCAGCTCCTGAGAATTCTAAATGTATCAGTTTCAGTGAGTGTAAAACAGCTGCCCCCAATTGTGTGTAACAGGAATCGCTTGAAGGGATCTCAACGGTAGCTCAGTGATCTGTGGGCCATTCTCTAACTCAAAGGGTTTCGCTGCTCTGCAAGCGATCTGAATGAAGTCTTGCTCTTGTGACGTGACCCCAATAACGCAGTTTACATACATTTGGAGATATACGACGACACAAAAACCAAAGATTTTTACCCTGTGAGTTAAAAACGACACGAGGTTCCAGAGACAAGGCTCGTGGGAGTTTCTGGCTGCATTCACTCATCTGCTCCTGCCTCTTGCTGCTGGCTAAGAAGCCTCACTTATTGCCGCCAACGGTGCGGCCATGGCGAGTGGGTGAAGCACGCGGTGGCTATGAAATCGCACGTACAATGTTGAACTTCTTTTGCGCCGCGCGTAGCCAACCGTGCCAATCGGAAGTGTGGCTGTTGATGTTGCAGTGCGGGTGAACGGGCGCAAGGAGCTGCCACTGTGCGTGCTGCACGGGGAGATCGCCATCGCGCGCCTGCTCCTGGAGCACGGCGCCGACCCGGCCTGGCTGTCCCTTGTGCACGGGGACACGCCGCTGCACGCCGCCCTCAACATCGCCTGCTCCAGGAGAGGTGCCCCAACCCTACTCCACCCCCCCACACCCCATCCACCCCAACCGTATCCAACAACAGCTTACAGTTGCGAGGCACTAAATTGCGTGACCGCTGTCTCCAGATGCCGCGCAATTGGAAGATTTGTAATTGTATACCGAGCGGGGGGGAAGGGATGACAAGGGTGAATCCACCTTCACCCTTGCCCAGCAGAGGGTGACACCGCCTGCCATGTTCGATGGTGACATGGACACAAGGCAGGGAGGCAGAGGAGGGTGATAGCCCCCAAGTGAGACATACAAATTAGACTTCGCTTCCCCGCCTGAGAATATTCCCTGCATAACACGACCGGTCTAATGACCGTACCATCGCCGCTGGCATCGTCATGATGTTATGCACTTTGTGCGCGGCCCTTTTGAAAATCCATTGCCAGATGAGAGCCTCTCCCATGCAGCGTCAGGTTGTGGGCACTGTTTGACTTTTGACCTTGACAACCGTATTTCCGCTGGGAGGACCCGATGAGCTACAAAGCTATGGTTCTGGCTAGGCTGGGGGGGGGGTCAGCAATGGAGGAAGATTGCGGAGGAAATTACATATCTGGATAAATTAATTGCACGTAAACTCGACCACAAGTAAACACAATCGGGTATAAACTCAATCTGCATGAACTCTTAACAAAACAATAATATCCAAATTATACAAAGCAAGGGTAAATTACATGAGCAAATGCACAGTTATTAAAGCACAGCTGCCAAAGCACCGGCTAGGAGTGCGGCCGAAGTTAACATCAAGTGTGATTTTTATTCACCCTATGTTCAAGGCACTGGTGAGTGTGGGTTGGTGAAGGCGGGGAGCATAGACGCGGGAGCATATAAGCACAGTACAACAGTGGATTTTGCCACACTGCCCTCTGCTGACCGCCACGTAGCAGTCCCGCAGCCGTCTATGACAACCTGGTCGGTATGTTGGTTGCCACCCGGCCACATTGCAGGCTCAACTCCTGCTTAGCTTGCGAGAACCGACGAGATTGGGTGCACTCCGGGCGATTGGCGTAGAGCTGCATTTCAGAACCTGCTTGATTTTTTTTGCACTTTTTTTTTGGCAGACGAAGAGGGGCTGCACATTCTGAAGTTGCTTTTGGAGAAAGCCCCGAATGTCAATGTGAGGGACGCGGATGGCAACTCCCTGCTGCACCTCGTCTTTTCTTCGCCGCACTCAAAGCATCACAATGAGATACTGCGCTTGCTCGCCTCGTACCGCATCGATCACACGTGCCAAAACAATGAAGGGAGGCACGCATTCTGGGGCATCAAGCAGAAAGACCCCCGCATGCAGATGTGGAATAGCATGGCCTGCAAGCAGAAAGGCAACAGCAGGAAGGGACGTGACGGCAGGAGACGCAAGCGACCACCGGAGCGCAACGGCACGCACGCCAAAATAGAGGCCGGGTCCAAGGCGTCCTCTGATTTTGTGGGTGAAACAGTCGAGGATGATGATGATGACGATGCTGGAGACGACGTGGAAAAAGTGGATGCTCTGAAGAAGGATGTGGTCAGTTTGGCTAGAGACACTTTGGCACGAGAAATTGAAGAACTCATAGAAGAATACGATCCTGTGAAGATGCAGACGGCAAAATCTGCCGAACCAAGGTCTCCTACGCCAACGGTCACCGAGTCGCCTCTAAGTGTCGCCGAACGCCAAGCTGGCGGAAGTGCCCCGCCGCAGCCTCCGCAGCATGCGCCACCGAGGCAGGAGCTTCCAGATGCACTCGATGAAACGTACAGTTTGTCCGACGGTGAAAATGCTCGTGATGAGAACAGTGTAGGGGACGATGACGATGGTGACGATGGCATGGCGGGTCCTGACTTCAACTCGCTGACCTGGGAGATCGAGTGCACCCGTGATGCCCTTAGAATTCTCAACGATAAGAGCCTCCCGCATACCACGAAGAGGAAGATCGTAAGGGTGATTTACTCGCTTGGCAACGGTGACTGGCACCTTCACCGCATCAAGCAAGTGAAAGGCATCGCCGAGTCCAGCGAGATCAGGCTGTTTGAGGCCAGGTTAGACAAGGCCGCCAGGCTGCTTTGGGAATTGGCAATCGACTTTTCGCCACGCTGCAGTGCCGAGCCCGAGAAAATCATCGATTCTGAAGAGTCTACTTCGGGAGAAAAGACTGGAGAAGTCTACAGTGAGATCATCCGCATTTGGGACATTGTCCTTGAGCACAAGCAACTCGACCACAGAATAAAGAGGATAATTTCCTCCTACAACCGCGGGATGTCCTGCTTGCTCCACCACAAGCTGAAGGGCATCGAGCGGGCATCGTTCCCCTCGCAGCAAAACGTGCGGCAGAGGTATCCGCTGCTCTTTGTCAAGACGGGCAGCTCTGATGGTGCCCAGCCCGTGACAGCAGAAGCCCGAGATTACTTTCCTCCAGCAAGCACGATGGAGACTGAGTACAACATCATGAAGTTCCACACCTTCAGCACGACCGTGGCGCTCAACGTCCTGCGCTGCCCCGAGCAGACGATCGAATACCCGTTCCGCGTGGGAGAGCTGGAGCATGCGGTCATCAACCTGAACCCCACGCCCTTGGAAGCCATCATCCTTATTGGCCGCTCGGGCACCGGCAAGACCACGTGCCTGATGTACCGGCTGTGGAACATGTTTGACAGGTATTGGCAGACGACCACACTCTTGGGAGAGCCGTGGATCCCGAAGGCCGTGCTTCCGCCGCCTCCATTGCCGGACGACGTGGGAGCCAGGGAGAACGTTGCCCTTGACTGCCCCGTGAAGAACGGCTGTGTAGATGATTCCAGCCGAAAGGGGACGTGTGAGCTGGAACGGGAAGCTTGCCTCCATGCTTCAGAGCGTTTCGAAATTGACCGAGGAAATTATTTCTTGGAACCTGCAGCTGAGATCGGTGCCACACAGCTTGTAAGTCAGCAGCCCGAGGAAGGTGCTGCTCCAATTTATGAACATCTTCATCAGCTGTTCGTTACGAAGAACCAAGTGCTGTCTCACGAGGTGCAAAGGAATTTTGTGGAACTATCCAAATCTACCGCCGGCACCCGGCACTACTCGCCCATTAACATCAGCAGTGTGTGCAGGCTCCAGGACGTCAAAGATGATAACTTTCCGCTCTTCTTGAACTCGCGACAACTCCTTCTGCTGCTCGATGCGTCGCTCGCGAACCCGTTTTTTGCCAGGAACGAAGATGGAAGCTTAAAGAAAGCCGTCCATGGGTGGTCCATGGACGACGACATTTTGGACCTCAATAATGCAGAAGACGCAATGGAAGAGGATCCTGACAACGAGGAAGACCACCAGGCGGATATTGGTAAATTTCACGAATCCAAAAAAGAGGACCCCAGAAAGTTTGTGACGTACGAAGTCTTCACGAGTGACATCTGGCCAGCCATGGTGAAGGGGAAGAGCCCGTATAACCCTGCCATGGTGTGGATGGAGATCAAGTCTTTCATAAAGGGCTCCGTGGAGGCCCTCAAGAGCCCCAACGGGGTCCTCGGTTTGGAGCACTATAAGGAGCTGGGCCAGAAGCGGGCGCCCAACTTCACCGGGGACCGTGGCGAGGTGCATCAGCTGTTCCGCGCCTACCAGCACGTCAAGTCCCAGAGGTGCTTCTTTGACGAGGAGGATCTGGTGTTCCACATCTACTCTCGCCTCTGCCAGCTGGAGGTCATGCCTTGGTCAATACATGAGCTCTACGGGGACGAGATCCAGGACTTTACGCAGGTGCAAAATCAACCGTGTCGGTGCATGTATTAAGTCGATCAGAATCAGAACATTTATTTACACTGGAGGAATCCGATTACCTATAAAGTTATTTTTTACAGATGTCCAGATCTCAGGGCACATTGGGGATGTGTTCCTGATTTTCGGATAAATCTTAAAAATGTGAAACTTGGACCTAGACAAGAAATTCGGACGATCAGAATTTTGTTTTGTTTGTTTCGGATTGATCCAAAAGTATGACGTTACAGGAAATTATGTCACTTGATTTTTTTTTCTCACCAAAAGTAGCCTCACGTGGCATTGGGCGCTGTCACTTTTGTTCGCACGAAGATGCGTTTAATAATTATTGCTTAATGGTCATTGCTTGAAAACCCTAAAATCCCCTAAATGTTCGAAATGGTAATAAAAATGCAAGAATCCAAAATGCTTGAATCTGAAAAATAACCATTTCTCGAGCATGTGCATTGCACATGTATGGATTCTTGTATTTCACCACAGTGACCCATAGAGCACCAACTAGGTCCATAACTAAATGACATGGTAGGGAGGCACAGCACACCATTGGTGAACATAACCAGGAGCGACGGACCAAAGTGTGAATCAACACTTGAGAATCAAAAAGTGCATGACAAATGTCTTCTACAAAATATAAACGCTGAAATAGACCTGGGCAGGACATCTAGCTAGGATGTCAGGGGACAGACAGGCAAGACATAACGGCAGATTAGAGGGCAAAGGAGAAAGCGGTAGACAACGTGATTTGTAGAAGTAACGGTGAAGAGTGGCCGACACCAGCGGAAGGCGTTTGCCCAGCAAAGGGAGGACGTTCACGGTGGAGAGACCATGGCAAAGTGGTGCTGACTGACGAGCGCCGTCGCCTGTGACCGCCACCCCCCTGCGCCCCCCCCCACCACCCCCGTGTCCCGTGTGCAGGCCGAATTGGCGTTGCTCATGCGCTGCTGTGCCGACCCCAATGCCATGTTCCTCACGGGGGACACGGCCCAGAGCATCATGCGCGGCGTGGCCTTCCGCTTCAGCGAGCTGCGCTCACTCTTCCACTTCGCCAGCCTCCCGCCAAGCGGCGGCGCCACGACGCATCGCTCGCGCATTGATGTGCGCAAGCCCAAGCGTCTCTACGAGCTCTGCCAGAACTACCGCTCGCACTCGGGTGAGCGCCCACGAGCACGTGCAGATGTGCGCCTGGTGGGGGCAGGCGGGTGGCATGCTGAGCCGCTTCCGCTACCATTGAGGTCCGGTGTTGGGGGCGTCTGCTCGTATTCGATGACTTTCCGTGGCTCCATGTGGCAGAGTCGGCTTGAGTGAGCTGATTGGACTCGGGCTCTGAACCGGTATCTAATGAATCCCCGCTATATTTTTGGGGAAGGCCCCTTTTTGCCATATACCACCGCCCTTCTGCGAATGCAGCTGGGAGCAAAACTAGTCGGGCTAATTGAAGGTAAAGCCTGCAGCATATAGTTTAACAATTATGCTTTCGCAACCATTATTATCCAAAATACATTTCTTTTTTAGGTTAGATTGCGTAAATATGAAAATGTGTCATTAAACCCACCACCACCCGACAGCAAATTGGTAAGTTTTGTCACATAAACAAAACGTGCCAATTAGTTACTACTTCAGCATGCCTGTGTATTGTAGGTTATAGTAATTCTATTAAAAACGCAACAACCTTGGCACAAGTCAAGCTGTGCCTTCTCAGGTGGGACCACAAGTAAAATACTTGGTCTGTTAACCTGTGGCCTACACGATCCCCTCCGTAACCATCACCGGTCCTTCCTCTCCATGTCCCTGTGTCCTCGCGCCAGGCATCCTGGAATTTGCCTCCAGCATTGTGGACCTGCTCCAGCACTTCTTCCCAGAGTCGCTAGACTGGCTGCCACGGGACCAGGGGCTGTTCCCGGGGCCGCGGCCCATCCTGCTCGACTCGTGCAGCTCCGAGGACCTGGCCATCCTGCTGCGCGGCCACCAGCGCCGCGCCCAGCCCATAGAGTTCGGGGCGCACCAGGTTTGTTTGGGATTGGACGGTAGAGGTCGGCTTTATTTGAGTCATCGGTAATCTGCATAAAACCGGTATAAACCGTTTTTTCGCACGTGTAGAAATCTGCAGCAGTAAACGTAACCTTTTAAGCTTAGGAACTAAGGGAGCTGCCACAGTGGTGTCATAGGGAGTACACTGGACTTGCAATCCAGCAGTCGTTGGTTCTGGGCACAGCAGCTGTAACAATTGAGCAGGTTTTTAAAATCCCTCCCCTCCCCCACGATCCACCCTGCAATATACACGGGCGCACCGCAGTCGACTAGTAGGTTACGCGTGGTGGGATAAAGTGAGGGTACTCCTTCTTCCAAGACGTTAGCTTAGGAGACAATGCCAAATACCCTCTATTGGAGGCCCTTCTTCCAGAAGTGGCATGGGCAATAAAGCAATTGCAGGGCTGCCCCTCTATCTTCAACCCAGTAACTAGGACAAATGTAACCAAGGGGTGATCTAGGCCGCCGTGCCATTTGTACGCTTGCTTGTGCGCCAATCGGTGCATTCATGACTTAAAAGTTCCACTGGAATCGGTTACCGGTTCCTAGACTTTCATAACCCGTAATCGATGCTTAAACCGGTTATCGGATTAGTTAGCAATGCCGGTTTGTACGTATCTTAGCTTTCCACTCGCATACGAAGCGCAAGGCACCCTCATGTAAGAAATGGGCCGAACGATTTGTTAACAAGTATCCTCTAGATGTATGTATGTTGAACTTATTTCGCACTGTACGTAGCCAACCATACTAGTGTTAAGCTCTAGCCTCACAGTTCCAAGCCGAGCCTGTACTCGAGTGTAAGGAGTGCTTAGTGCAGGTTAGGGTTAGTCTACATGTAGCGCATTGTATTATCTGCTTGTGAGTGTGCACGCATGCCCTTACATGTGAGTAATTACACAGGTAAACACGCACGGCGTAGTGGATAGCAGCTACATCAATTAACGAATAAATTAACTGGTTGTGGGCTTCACCTAGGTCGATTCAGGCTTAAAAGACTATCTTGTGCGGTGTGTAAACATCATCGCTGGGGAAACAAAGGCGGCCGGGCGTGGTGCTAACCACCACCCCCCTCGTGCTCAGTGCCGGCCCTTTGCAGGTGCTCGCCAATAGCACTTGCCCCAATAGTCTGCGTACGCCACACAGGGTACCTTTGCCTTTTGTGTGTGACAGGTGATCCTGGTTTGTAATGAGAAAGCCAAGGAGCAGCTCCCAGAGGAGCTGAGCCTGGGCCTGGTGCTCACCATCTATGAGGCCAAGGGGCTGGAGTTTGACGACGTTCTCCTCTACAACTTCTTCTCCGACTCAGAGGCAAGCTCCCCCATGGCCTCCGCTTGGTGCAGTTCCTGATTGAACATTCCACTTACAACAATGACAAACTTACGAGAAACATACCACAACGACCAACTTATCATCACTAACAATTTACCAAAAACGACCAACTTTCCCAAATGACGACCAGTTTACCATAACGACTGGCCGCCTCCACAGCAGGTGGCCGGGTCACATTGCATATCCTGGTTTTAATCAGAATCAGAATCTTCATGTAGACTGCAGGAGGAATCTGATGAGCTATGAAGCTCTTCTTCACAGATATCTAGTCTATTTCCACCTCTTGCACTCTTCAGTGGAGAATCTAGTCCGACTGTCTCACATTGTCCCACCGACCAATTTTCTGCCTTTGTCTTGCCCTCTCCCCCCCCCCCCTTCTCCTGCTGTATCATCTCCATCATATTTTGAGCTGCGAGCCGCGTTGCATGTGTCCCCGATATGCCACCTTCCGTCCTTGTCAGGGGACTCCTCAGTGATTCCAGCTTGCAGCCATTATGTCTTTGCACATCTTCACCGTCCTTCTGGTCACATCAGCTTAACTCTCTCCGCTCGTCTCATTCTCTCCCGGCGTCTCACTTGCACGCATCCCACCACCAATACGACTTGTACCTTGACCCCGGCCGTGTTCTTTACGCCCGCGGGGGCAAGTGCAGGCAACCAAGGAGTGGCGAGTGGTGAACTCATACGAGGCGCCTGCCCACAACGATGCCAGCGCCGTGCCCTCACCGCAGCCGCTCCAGGAGGTGTTGCTGGAGGAAGTGCTGCCCTGCTCTCGCCCTCTTAACTTTGACTCCATTGCCCACAAGGTCGGCTCCTCACGAACAGTCGCTCGCTGTCTGCCAGCTACCGCTGCACAACACAAACAAGCAGACGATACCTTTCATTAATTAATCTTTAAACATTTTTTTACATAATAAAAAAAAAATGGTTTTACCCTTTCTGGAAATTAAACAGAAGGTGTTAAGATGTTCAAACACCAAATAGATAAATTTTGCAAGGCATCAAGTCTGCATTAACCGTACGTATTTGTGGCAAAACATGCAAACAAACATACTCTGATAATATACGCATTGTCTTTGAAACTGATTGGCCGACACCAGAGACAGCCTTCTTTATGGCCTTGTCTCATCACCGATATTAGACCAGAGAATGTCAAAAGGCGAACAGTACAAAGACAATGCAAGTAACAGAGCACTTATAGCTCACGTCGAGCACTATCAAAAATGATTTTTTTTAAATGTAAAAAGGTTTTACCAGGCAAGGCCCACTGAGCTCTATATAGCTCTTTTTCAGAAGCAGCCTGGCCACAAATGATAGCTCAGTGAAGTAGCTTATGATGTGGATTTTTTTCTCAGCCAAATACTCTAAAGGCAGGTTTCTAAATATGGACCCGGAGAAAAATCCACGTGACCACGAGGAGAATATGCAAACTCCAAATATACAGGTGCCAGGGTTGGGCTGGAACCCATGACCTTCTATATACCAGGTGATATAGTTAACATCTCGTTACTGTGGCACACACACACATCTCTGTCCTCCACATGAAAGCACTTATCACATTCCTTGTCACGCAATGCTGCTCAGATCATGCATTTCCAGAGTACCTTGTGGTAGACAGGAAGTTTTTAAAAGTTATTTTATTTTTCGTACGGCGGCACAGATCTGTGAATGAGACATGTCCGGTTATTAATGTCGTTGCTGCTGCACAGTCTATCCCCACCAAGCCGGCTCCACCAACACCGCTAACCGTGCCAAGCGTTCGCCCCCACAGGCTCCCTCCAAGGAACCTGACATTCATAAATCCGACTTCGGAGCTGCACTTGAACCCGTACACACGTTCAGCCGTTTTGTCACTCCGCTGCTGGATGAGGGCCTCCCCATGCCAGGCGAGCTGTGGGGGTGATTTGACCATACTTCACCACGCTGGTCACTGTGGGTTGGTGAAGTCAGGGAGCGGAGATGTGGGAGCATGGAAGTGCAGTATCAGTATAGCAATAGATGCTACACCTCCCTCTGCTGCCCATAACGGAGCTCTGCAGCCTCCAACACGTGTTATGCATGGCGGTCACACATGGAAGCACTAGCCAGGCCCAAACCAGCTTAGCTTATTAGAACTGATGAGATTGAGCATATTCCAGGCGATTACTCAGTGGCGATTACACATGGCAATAATCATCGCCCCCGACTGGCAGACTCATGCCTGTTGGCAGGTCAAGTGCTGAGTCACCTTGTGCCCCCCAGGGGACAGCTGCCACTGGGGGTGCCTTTTCGCATGTGTTGAGATGAGATGTAAGATGTAAAGCGCTCTGGGATGACCCAGCGTACAGGAGGGTGGCACTCTGTCAAACGCAAACCATTGTCATGAACAACATTACTTGATTAAAGGCATTTGAAGACTCCCTGAATGAAAATAGGCGGTTTATTTTTTTATCCTAATGAAAATTTGCAAACTAGAATAGTTTGTATCAAAATCTTGATGATCTCGTCATCGAGCATAAACCATCACGCACAATCCGGTCATCCTCACAGCGGCCTTTGCAGCTGTCTGGAACGCTCTTCCTTCTGATATTAGGAAGCCACTGGGAACTATGCACTTTAAATTTAAATAAACATGTTTTTTATTTAGAACTGCTTTTTGTGTTTAGTTTGTTGTCCTTCCCACGCACCTCCGATGAGGGTGATTGGCTACGTACGGTGTGAAAGACGTTCAACATACATACGTGTACTGGGCTTTCGCAGGCTCGGTTTGTCACACTGCGAAGGGTGGTGGCTACACCGAGCGGCAGGGTTTCATTTGCGAGGGGGCTTTGCCGAGGCCATGCGGTGACCCGGACGCGGGCGCCCGGCTCACCGCACCAAATTTCTCCAGGTGCTGATCAGCGAGCTCAAGCATCTGTACACGGCGGTGACGCGCGCCCGGGTCAACCTGTGGGTGTTCGATGACCACAAGGAGAAGCGCACGCCCATGTTCCGCTACCTCGTCAGGAGGAACCTCGTCTCGCTTGTCCGTACCACCCCGGGCGAAGAAGAGGGTGGGTGGCGACTCACGTCACTGCTTCGGTCATAACGCTCCGCCGGCTCCCGAGCCAATCACTCATCCAACTCACGCTCGCACTATCCTACCTTTCCCAAGAGCCTCCATGGATTCAGCCCTGACTACCACTCGTCTCACTCCACGCCCCTCCCCATTTTCCTGCCTCTCCCCTCTCATCTCACTCCCCTCCAAGCACCCGCCTACCTCTTCCCTCTCATCTTACCCTACTCATCTCTATGTACTCTCCTGCCTCTCCCCTCTCATCTCACCCTACTCACTTCCATGTCCTCTCCTGCCTCTCCCCTCTCATCTTACTCCACTTTCCTCCAAGCACTCTCCTGCCTCTCCCCTCTCATCTCACTTTACTCCTCTCCAAGCACTCTCCTGCCTCTCCCCTCTCATCTAACCCCACTTCCCTCCACACAATCTCTTACCTATCTCCTCTCATTTTAACATTTAGCTCGCTTAACAGCACTTTCCCCAACAGTCTGTTAAGGCTATATGGGAGACTTTTGTCTTTTGTCCTGCAGCCATGGATGATGGTATCTTTGTGCGCTCTTCCACGCCGGAGGAGTGGAACGTTCAGGGAGATTACTTCTTCAAGCATCGTCGCTGGAAGGTGAGTGCTGAGACAGCTCGGTCTGGACACCTGGGCCTTCGTGTGGCAGTGCGGCCATCGCTTGCCAGTGTTTGTTATTGAATATACGGTTACCTATTTAACTAAACTAAACCTTTTTTATTTTACCAGGTAAGGCCTACTGAGTTATAGAGCTCTTTTCAGAAGCAACCTGGCCACAAATCAAAGCTCAATGCAGTGGCTAATCTAGCAGCAAAATACTGTTAACATGTATTTATAAATGTGGAGGGAAAAATCGGAGTACCCGGAGAAAACTCCATGCGACCACGATGAGAGAGAGACATGCAAACAGGCATCAGGGTCAGGATTGAACCCACAACCTCCTGTATCCCAGGCGAGGTTTTAACATCTTGGAACCGAAACCTCAAGCCTTTGGCAAAGGTGGCCCACTCAGAACATAGCAGAGATAAACACATTTCCATGGGACCCTTTTGCCAGTTTTGAGATAATAAAAAAAGGTTTTACCCTTTTTGGCATTATACAGGTGGTGTTAATATTTTAAAACACAAAATAGACACAAGGAATCACACACATGTGTGATAATACATGCAAACAAACATGCTTTCTTCCGTATATGAGTTTATCCACGCAAGGAAGTTTCCTCCAGGACAAGGAAACAGCGTTATAGCACCAGCCTCTCGTGCGCCGTGCCGGCCGTCATATAGCGGTTGCAAACAGCACTCGCCCAACAGTCTGTTAAGGCTGTACGGGGGCGATCTTTGTCTCTGTGTGCAGGTGGCAGCCAAGTGCTACCACAAGGGTGGAGATGCGGTGAAGGAGAAGCTCGCGCTGGCTCACGATACCGTGCTACGCATGCAGAGCAGCGGATGGAGCCCTCGGTATGGCCGCACCTGCACCGCGCTGCTCCCTTGTAGCACCAGCCACGGGCTGCCATGCTCACGTTGGCGCTGGCGCGGAGGGTGGGGGTTGGCGCTCGATAGCGAGAAGCGAGTATCGACGGCACCTGGGGACGAGTGCCTGGGGAAGCCGGTCCATGCCACCTGTGAGTCGGTCCACGCTTCAAAATCCACATCGCCGGTGGCAGTGATGTGGAATTGAAGTGTGGACGCTGACCAAGAATATTTTTACGAAAGGCACAAAGAAGTGTGCAGAGGTGCATGAGGGGAATTACACTGAGAGACGAAAACTAAAACGCATGGATCAGAGAATAGACAAAAATCAGAGATGTCATGTTGACCGGAAAAGAGTAAGTTGGCGCGGGTAGAATGCAATGCCGGGAAGGACGACTGCCGTGGAGATGGAGCCATGATTACCAGCTTTTGTGCAGGAGCTGTTGAATTGTTGCATTTTTAGACAATGAGGAATGATGGCGGCTCGGGGAGGCCTTAATTTAGCAGTTGATAGAACATAGCCGGTGATGACATTTTGTCTTGTTTAAACAATGGGACGTACATTACACTATGGTCTAACTTGCAAGCCTTTGTCACTGCCCATGACTTTATGGTGTAAACTAGCCAGGCATGAGCACCACAGAACGTTGCCGCTTCTCGGCAAATGGCGGCTCTCGGTATGCAACGACGCTCCCCCTCTGCTGCTGCTGTGCACACGCGCGTGTTGCGAGCAGCAAGGCCCAGGACTACCTTACCCTTGCCAAAACGTACCTGGAGTGTGGCCTGCCCTACATGGTGCTCAAGTGCCTGCAGAACGCAAAGAGCTACCCTCTCTGCGGCAGGCTGTGCGAGCGTCTCGGCAAGGTGAGCCTCTGGCATCACCCCTCCCATTCTGTTGCCATCTTTCATCCCACGCCTGTAAACGTTATTTATCATCTTAAGTACGTCGCCCGTATTATAAGCTACAACATTGGATCTTTCGATTTGAAGCTTTCGTGACTGCAAGGATTCATCTTCTTTGGTTCTTTCGGTAAAGTCACGTAGAATGAGAATAAAATAATAAATTGATAAAATAAAATAACACAATAAAATTCTCACGACGTTTCGGCCACAACACAAGCGGCCTTCATCAGGTGAAGGGACCAGACTGTCTCGAGGACAGCGCTGGAGTGAAACACAGCCACGCTCAGACCGTGACCCTTAAGCTGTGTGCGAGGAAACAAGGTGCCTTGACAAAGGAATTAGCATAAAAATTAGCATATGATTGGCCGACTTAGCATGATGAACGGTGTAGAGGTGGTGTACATGCGGGTGAACATGCCGGTTGGTGAGGGGGGGAGGGAGAGTTTACCTATTGATGGTGTGAAAAGGGAATTTTTAAGAGCTGCGAAAGTTTGGGGTACCACTATTGAAAAATAAACTGTACCACTGAAAATTAGTTTAATGTTTGGTTCGATTTAGAACATCTTTCCAATGGTTGCTTAATTTGAAACCATCATCTCGGTTTAAATTGTGTCTGTGTTTGTAGATCTGAATTGCCTCGTGAACAAATCTCTGATAAAAACCCGTGGGTTTGCAAAGAACCTTGGTATCGGAGAAAATTATATCGTGATCACCCACAGCGTTGTAACAGTGATCAGCTACGGCAGAAGAATTCGTTCTGCCATGTTTCCAATCTGATTTGTGCTCGCCATGATTAAACTACCCTGATTAAACTACCCTGATTAAACTATTCTGATTAAACTGCCCTGATTAAACTGCCCTGATTAAACTGCCATGATTAAACTACCCTGATTAAACTGCCATGATTAAACTGCCCTGATTAAACTACCCTGCTTAAACTACCCTGATTATAAACTGCCCTGATTAAACTACCTTGATTAAACTACCCTGATTAAACTACCCTGATTAAACTGCCATGATTAAACTACCCTGATTAAACTGCCATGATTAAACTGCCCTGATTAAACTACCCTGATTAAACTGCCATGATTAAACTGTCCTGATTAAACTACACTGATTAAACTGCCCTGATTAAACTACCCTGATTAAACTACCCTGAATAAACTACCCTGAATAAACTACCCTGATTAAACTATCCTGATTAAACTACACTAATTAAACTGCCCTGCTTAAACTACCCTGATTAAACTACCCTGATTAAACTGCCCTGATTAAACTACCCTGATTAAACTACCCTGATTAAACTACCCTGATTAAACTGCCCTGATTAAACTACCCTGATTAAACTACCCTGATTAAACTGCCCTGATTAAACTACCCTGATTAAACTACCCTGATAAACTGCTCTGATTAAACTGCCCTGATTAAACTACCCTGATTAAACTACCCTGATTAAACTACCCTGATTAAACTGCCCTGATTAAACTACCCTGATTAGCTACCCTGATTAAACTGCGCTGATTAACTGCCCTGATTAAACTGCCCTGATTAAACTGCCCTGATTAACTACCCTGATTAAACTGCCCTGATTAAACTACCCTGATTAACTACCCTGATTAAACTGCCCTGATTAAACTACCCTGATTAACTACCCTGATTAAACTGCCCTGATTAAACTACCCTGATTAAACTACCCTGATTAACTACCCTGATTAAACTGCCCTGATTAAACTTCCCTGATTAACTATCCTGATAAAACTACCCTGATTAAACTGCCCTGATTTAACTGCCCTGATTAAACTGCCCTGATTAAACTACCCTGATTAAACTAGTAGTTATGGTAGTTTAATCAGGGCAGTTTAATCAGGGTAGTTTATTCAGGGTCGTTTAATCAGGGCAGTTTAATCAGGGTAGTTTAATCAGGGTAGTTTAATCAAGGTAGTTTAATCAGGGCAGTTTAATCAGGTCAGTTTAATCAGGGCAGTTTAATCAGGGCAGTTTAATCAGGGCAGTTTAATCAGGGCAGTTTAATCAGGGCAGTTTAATCAGGGGAGTTTAATCAGGGGAGTTTAATCAGGGCAGTTTAATCAGGGTAGTTTAATCAGGGTAGTTTAATCAGGGTAGTTTAATCAGGGTAGTTTGATCAGGGAAGTTTGATCAGGGTAGTTTGATCAGGGCAGTTTAATCAGGGTAGTTTAATCAGGATAGTTTAAGCAGGGCAGTTTAATCAGGGCAGTTTAATCAGGGTAGTTTAATCAAGGGAGTTTAATTAGGGGAGTTTAATTAGGGTAGTTTAATCAGGGTAGTTTAATCAGGGCAGTTTAATCAGGATAGTTTTATCAGGGTAGTTTGATCATGGTAGTTTAATCAGGGCAGTTTAATCAGGGCAGTTTAATCAGGGCAGTTTAATCAGGGAAGTTTAATCAGGGAAGTTTAATCAGTGAAGTTTAATCAGGGTAGTTTAATCAGGGCAGTTTAGTCAGGGCAGTTTAATCAGGGCAGTTTATTCAGGGTAGTTTAATCAGGGTAGTTTAATTAGGGTAGTTTACTCAAGGTAGTTTAATCAGGGCAGTTTAATCAGAGTAGTTTAATCATGGTAGTTTAATCAGGGTAGTTTAATCAGGGCAGTTTAATCAGGGCAGTTTAATCATGGCAGTTTAATCAGGGCAGTTTAATCAGGATAGTTTTATATGGGTAGTTTAATCAGGCTAGTTTAATCAGGGTAGTTTAATCAGGGCAGTTTAATCAGGGCAGTTTACTCAGGATAGTTTAATCACGGTAGTTTAATCAGGGCAGTTTAATCAGGAGAGTTTAATCAGGAGAGTTTAATCAGGGTAATTTAATCAGGGCAGTTTAATCAGTGCAGTTTAATCAGGGCAGTTTAATCAGGGTAGTTTAATTAGGGCAGTTTAATCAGGGTAGTTTAATCAGGGCACTTTAATCAGGGCAGTTTAATCAGGGCAGTTTAATCATGGTAGTTTAATCGGGGTAGTTTAATCGGGGTAGTTTAATCAGGGTAGTTTAATCAGGGTAGTTTAATCAGGGTAGTTTTATCAGGGTAGTTTAATCAGGGTAGTTTAATCAGGGTAGTTTAATCAGGGCAGTTTAATCAGGGTAGTTTAATCAGGGTAGTTTAATCAGCGTAATTTAATCAGCGTAGTTTAATCAGGGTAGTTTAATCAGGGGAGTTTAATCAGGGGAGTTTAATCAGGGTAGTTTAAGCAGGGTAGTTTAATCAGGGAAGTTTAATCAGGGAAGTTTCATCATGGTAGTTTAATCAGGGCAGTTTAATCAGGGAAGTTTAATCAGGGTAGTTTAATCAGCGCAGTTTAATCAGGGTAGGTTAATCAGGGTAGTTTAATCAGGATAGTTTAATCAGGATAGTTTAATCAGGGTAGTTTAATCAGGGCAGTTTAATCAGGGCAGTTTAATCAGGAGAGTTTAATCAGGAGAGTTTAATCAGGGTAGTTTAATCAGGGCAGTTTAATCAGTGCAGTTTAATCAGGGCAGTTTATTCTGGGTAGTTTAATTATGGCAGTTTAATCAGGGTAGTTTAATCAGGGTAGTTTAATCAGGGCAGTTTAATCAGGGCAGTTTAATCGGGGTAGTTTAATCAGGGTAGTTTAATCAGGGTAGTTTAATCAGGGTAGTTTTATCAGGGTAGTTTAATCAGGGTAGTTTAATCAGGGTAGTTTAATCAGGGCAGTTTAATCAGGGTAGTTTAATCAGCGTAGTTTAATCAGCGTAGTTTAATCAGGGGAGTTTAATCAGGGGAGTTTAATCAGGGTAGTTTAATCAGGGAAGTTTAATCAGGGAAGTTTAATCATGGTAGTTTAATCAGGGCAGTTTAATCAGGGAAGTTTAATCAGGGTAGTTTAATCAGCGCAGTTTAATCAGGGTAGGTTAATCAGGGTAATTTAATCAGGCTACTTTAATAAGGGTAGTTTTATCAGGGTAGTTTAATCAGGGCAGTTTAATCAGAGTCGTTTAATCAGGGTAGTTTAATCAGGGTATTTTAATCAGGGGAGTTTAATTAGTGTAGTTTAATCAGGGTAGTTTATCAGGGCAGTTTAATCATGGTAGTTTAATCATGGTAGTTTAATCAGGGTAGTTTAATCAGGGCAGTTTAATCAGGATAGTTTAAGCAGGGCAGTTTAATCAGGACAGTTTAATCAGGACAGTTTAATCAGAGCAGTTTAATCAGGGTAGTTTAATCAGGGCGGTTTAATCAGGGAAGTTTAATCAGGGAAGTTTAATCAGGGTAGTTTTATCAGGGTAGTTTAATCAGGGCAGTTTAATCATGGCAGTTTAATCATGGCAGTTTAATCAGGGTAGTTTTATCAGGGTGGTTTGATCAGGGTAGTTTTATCAGGGTAGTTTAATCAGGGCAGTTTAATCAGGGCAGTTTAATCAGAGCAGTTTAATCATGGCAGTTTAATCAGGGTAGTTTAATCAGGGCAGTTTAATCAGGACAGTTTAATCAGAGCAGTTTAATCAGGGTAGTTTAATCAGGGCGGTTTAATCAGGGAAGTTTAATCAGGGAAGTTTAATCAGGGTAGTTTTATCAGGGTAGTTTAATCAGGGCAGTTTAATCATGGCAGTTTAATCATGGCAGTTTAATCAGGGTAGTTTTATCAGGGTGGTTTGATCAGGGTAGTTTTATCAGGGTAGTTTAATCAGGGTAGTTTAATCAGGGCAGTTTAATCAGGGCAGTTTAATCAGAGCAGTTTAATCATGGCAGTTTAATCAGGGTAGTTTAATCAGGGCAGTTTAATCAGGGCAGTTTAATCAGGGCAGTTTAATCAGAATAGTTTAATCAGGGTAGTTTAATCAGGGTAGTTTAATCATGGCGAGCACAAATCAGATTTGAAACACGGCAGAACGAATTCTTCTGCCGTAGCTGATCACTGTTACAACGCTGTGGGTGATCACCATATAATTTTCTCCGATACCAAGGTTCTTTGCAAACCCACGGGTTTTTATCAGAGATTTGTTCACGAGGCAATTCAGATCTACAAACACAGACACAATTTAAACCGAGATGATGGTTTCAAATTAAGCAACCATTGGAAAGATGTTCTAAATCGAACCAAACATTAAACTAATTTTCAATGGTACAGTATATTTTTCAAGTAGTGGTACCCCAAACTTTCGCAGCTCTTAAAAATTCCCTTTTCACACCATCAATAGGTAAACTCTCCCTCCCCCCCTCACCAACCGGCATGTTCACCCGCATGTACACCACCTCTACACCGTTCATCATGCTAAGTCGGCCAATCATATGCTTTTTATTATTTTATTCTCATTCCACGTGACTTTACCGAAAGAACCAAAGAAGAAAAAACATTGGATCTGCCCCGTTAATGGTATCACGACAATTGCAAAGTAACGCAAGAGGCATGGCCTGAAGGACGCTTGGCTTTTTATCATGTGCTCACTGAGCGTTGCCAATCCCGAGCTGTCTGGCACGAGCTGAAGCCTCGTTAATGATACAGGGTTTGGGCGAAGTGCCGGGTGGCTCAGAGGTCCGAACGCTGTGATGGCCACCGCAGAGAAGACCTGAATTCGAATCCGGGTTGCAGCCACCTGTGAATAAAGCAGGTTCTCTAGTGTAACGAGTTGATGGTCTCGGCACGGTCGCCCAATGACTGCACAACAAACATCATCGTGTTATATTTGGTTCTGCAGGAATGTTGATACAGCTCCTGAGAAATTCAAAATATCGGTTTGACTGTCACACGACAAACATTACTCTCGGTGGCTGGGCAGACGGGGAAAGTGCGACTCCGACAGTGTGTAGCCTATAAGGCCACTTGATGAAGTTCTATGTTATTTGCTTCCTCGGCCGTTCTGTAAGACCAAAGGGTGACAAAAAAGCTGGCCCAGCAGGAGACTTGAGCGCAAAAAACACAAAGACACGCACTCGTCTGGCTTGGGCGTGTTAAAGGGAATGAGGGCCAACAAATCACCGGCATCAGCTGCCCCACACTGCCACGTGGAGGGATCAATAAGTAGAGGCCCTCCACGCCAACAGGCGGATTGTTGATACAAAGGTGGAGGACGTGAGACAAACTCTACAGCGTACGATTGCCGTGACCAGAGAAAGGAAGGTTTGTACAGCCTCGTCGTCAGCCGCATGTAAGAGTGGCGTTGTCTTTGCTGCTGTCTATTTGACATGATGCGAGGACAGCAGCAGCAGCGCGCGCTGTCGGACTGCCTCGTGTTAACCTCGTGCTCGCGTGCTGCACGTGGTGTGCGAGTAGGTGCAAGAGGCAGTCAGGTGGTACATGAAGAGTTCGTGCTTTGACGAGGCTGCGAGGCTCATTGAACGGTTTGTACTCCGCCCGTGCCTCAGGTTGCATTTCAATTGTGCGACTTTTGTCTGCGTAACCCGGTTGTAAGACAACCCACCGTCGTCATCCTCATTGTTGTGTATTGTTACGTGATCTGTACGCTTCAATTTCGGCGCTACGTCAGTTATTCGAATAGTGACACAGTTCATGAATTTTCTAAGAGATTAGCGTTGTTACGGTTGGATAATTGAGAAACTACGGTTGTGCATTATCGTCAAACAATCAGCATCATTATTTTTCACTCTTCCCTAAAAACTCACTAATATTCCCTTGCTTACCTCAACTCCCCTTCCACCTCCATTCCCCATCTTTTCCACGATCTCTCTTCCCAATTTCCCTACCTATTCATCACACTCACTCATCAACTACTGATTTTCACTTTCATCATCGTTTATTTCACTCATCATCATATTCACGTACTACTCATCAACTCATCTCATCACACCATTCGATTTCCAGTTTAACAGATAGGCTTTCACGACCAATATCATCCATAATACAGGTGTTTTTTTTGGGTTAGATCGCGTAAATATAAATGTGTCGTTAAACCTGACACCACCCGACAGCCAATTAGTAATGTTTGTCACGTAAGCAGAACATGCCAATTCGTTACTAGCACAGCATCACCAGGTGAAACAGGAGGATTTCTCCACAAATCTGGCTTTCGCCTGATGTTGCTAGTTGTAATTCCTGACGAAACATCGTAGTACTACCCCACCCCCCCCCCCCCCCCCCCCACGGTGTGTGCGCCCAGGTGTGAGGCCGAGCAGAGCCCCGACGGAGGCCTCGCCCCCGACTTTCCGTGGAAGTGGCGCGAGCTCCGCTTCATGGCCGCCAGGCATCACGTGAAGCAGGGCGACGAGGACGCGATGATGCGCTCGCTCTCCCGCGTTCCCTTCGAGGAGCGACTTGCCTTCCTCAAGATGAACAACTTTTTGGCCCAGACCATCACCCTCCTCAAGCAGAGGGGGAGGGTGGAAGAGGCTGGGAAGATGCTTCGAAAACATGGGATGATTACTGACGCATTGCAGCTCGCCAGGCCCGGGAGCCAATTTGCTGCCGAGTGCCTCCTGGCGAAGGCTCGTGCTGCGGTGCAGGCATTGTGGGCACGCGCCAGCCGACAAGACGAGGGAGAGGAGGAAGCATTGCGTGGGCACCAGAGCGAAATAAAAGCAGAGCTCCAGAGCGTGAGGGAAACGTGCGACAATAACAACTTTGTGAGTGGGAAGGCCGAAGCCTGCTACATGCTTGGGAAGTTGGAAAGTGACGAAGACCTCTTGCATGAAGCAATTACGCTCTTCCTCAAGGCCGACGTGGTTGTAGGTGCTGCCGAAGCGATCGTGGCTTTGCTGGATGTTGAGAGTGGGGGGTCGCCGGACGTCATCCCCAAAATACTCAAGGTGCTGCAGCCTCTGTTGCAGCTCGTGGTGAGGTTCCTCGGCAGCGCGAGCTCAGAGAAGGCCACGGCTCATCAAGAGGAGTGGTTGGCGAAGAGCTGCGAGTTTTACGGCCTGAGCCGGAGCGAGAAGACCTGCAGAGTGTTGAGGCACGAGGGTGCCAGGTTCCTCGACGTCCCTGCCAGCTCGAGGCACAGCGACGGTGAGCCGTGCGTACCCACGCCAAAGGCAGACTATGTCCTCGCGCAGCATCTACTGGGTCACTGCGAGCGCCTCGTCCGAGCGGCGGAGTCCCGCGCGCGCGAGACGCCGAGCATCTGCAGACACCACTTGACGGGAAGAGCGTGCTCGCTCCAAGATTGCCGCGACATACACGGTACGGCCAGCAGGGCGGAATTGAAAACGTTGGTGGCGAGCAAAGTTCACCTGGTGACGCTGTCTGGAATTCTCCTGAAAGTGCTCCCACAACTGGAGTCCCAGAGACCCGAAGCGGCAAAGTTTGTAGAGGCGCTCCTTCCCAAGCCAGAGTTGGCTGACTGCGAGGACCTCCTCGCCCTGCTTTTTCCCAGCCATTTCCACCTGCGAGGGCTGTCCGAGAGCCCGGCGTCCTGCAGGGACATCCTGGCGCCTATACGGAGCAACCCTCATGTTAGCTCTGTGATGCACAAGCTCATGGCGCGAGAAGTCGCCTCCCACAGGGAGAAGAGCCGGAGGGAATCGACCGACCTATGGTTAAAAATGTACTGCACGGCGCGCGCCGTCAATTCTCCGACAGAGCCCGGCAGGCTCCTGCGCGCCGAAGAAGAAGCGTTTTACCGGCGCGTCGAGCAGAAGAGGCCAGAGCCGGGCAGTGCCGGCATGGTCGTCCTGCGCAATGGACGCTACACCAGCTTTTTCAACCTTTTCACGGAATCGGCGGAGAAGGCATTCGCGCAGGGAGATGTGCAGGGCTCGACTCACGCCTTCTACCGCTTCCACAACCTGATCAAGACGCGGCAGGGTCGCAGCGGCAGCCTGGCGCCGAGCGTGGCCAACGCGGCGATGATGGCGGAGCTGCAGTTGGTGCTGGTCTGCGCGGTCCACGCGAGCATGCGCCCCGACGTGAACACGGTCTGCCTGCCGCACGGCTACCTCGCCACGCTGAACCTGTGGAGCTGGATGCATCCGCCCAATCCGCAGGTGGGTGCCACGCATGGATCGGATGCGTCGTGGCCGGACAAGCCTGGCGGGAGCTTCCTGCACTCGGCCGCACGGACGCCTCTCGGATATTTACCTCCCAGATGTTTTTCAATTAAGCTTTTCCAACGGAGAGTGAAAGCAGTCATGCATTAACTCTGTCTGGCCGTTCGTCCGTCTGTAACGTGGGGGTTACAGTAGCCCTCCTGCTCAGAATGATCCAATATGAACGGAATTTGATGGTGAGAAAACCATCCCGGTTGATCGAAGGGTTAAGCGCCCAGGATGTGGCTATAACAGCCAGTTCCAAATAGATACGCGCATGTGTGTATATGTGGACGGTGTCTTGGTGTGTATTGAATCGTAATTGATTGTTGGATTAGGCCGCGTAATGATCTGGCCAACTGTGTGTCATTAGAAAACCCCGCACCACCGCACACGGCCAAACAAAATTAAATGTCCACGTGGTGCACAAACATTTAAAGTTGGGGCTCACCGGTAAGTTGAAGAACAATCCGCACAACCAAATTCAGCAACTGTTTCCGAGCCAAAACTCAATTATGAATGAAGAGATTGGCCGCGGCAACGTGCGCGTCAAGTTGGTAGCGTATTTTTGCGATTGTATTGTACGATTGTCGCAGCATAACCCACGCTGAGAAAACACGTGGTTGTGATGCTTCGGCACTCGCTCTCACATTGTTTAATTGTTCACCCCTTCAGGTGAAACATCACAGTGACATCTTCAAGGCTATTAATGAGTTCAGCAGAGGCCAGCACCAACCTTCCGGCTACAACAGAATGGTGAGGCACGTCAACTACTTGGCCTTCATGGCGTGTGGCGAGCACAATGAGTTTCTGCTGAATGCCTGCAGTGATGACCTCTGCGTGGAGTCGGGGGCAGCAGAGCGCCTGGTCGTGCTGTACCTGGTCATGCTCGTTAACATCCACATCTTGAGGAGGGAGAACCTCCAGTTCTGCATCCGCACGGCCGTCAGGAACGCCAACAAGCACCTCTCGCCCGAGAGACGGGACAGGCTGCCGCCACGTCTCCTGCACTGCTTGGAAGCGGCCGACGCGGCCAAAGGACCCAGGGATGTGACGGTTATTCTGGACGTGCTTCTGCAACAAAGAGATGACGAGCGTCTCTATGACTGCGTGTGGAGCTCGCAGAGGCGTGGCTTCTTCTATCACAGGTTGTTGGCCTCCCGATTTCCCGAGCAATTTGAGTTTGACCCGGAGGAGTCGGGGATTTCTACTTCGAACCCGGAGCGGTTCCTGAACGGCGACAGCGAGGAGAGGGGGGAGGAGTACGAGGACACCGAGCGGAGTGAGCTGCTGTTGCAGCATCTGACCACGCGGCAGGAGATGGAGGAGCGGATGCATCAGAAGGCTCGGCGCAGGTGGAGAACGGCCCTGCGAGCCCTGCAATTTGCTATGGCCCTGAGCGCCAAGCTGAGGGAGGAAGCCACGGGACAAACGGTTCTCAAACCCGCGCGGCTGACCCAGGAGTACTGCGGCGTGTGCGGCGTGAGCTTCGTGAAGGTGGAGGAGGATGTCGATGCCGCCGAGTGGGACGCATACGGATCGGCGAGCAAACCCGGATTGAACGTCGATTCCGCTGTCTATGGAGCGTTCGGCATCTCTGCGAGCGGTCACTACAAGTCCCGGGGCCACATGTCCAGGATGGCGCAGTATCACGGCTACGTTGTCGAGTTCCGTCGTTTGGTCGATCCGGCGATGAGGAAGGCGACGGCGCAGCTCCGGCAGTCAGAAGAGCTGCGCCGTTGGGAGCGCACCGACGCACAGTTGGAGATGCATCGGGAGGAGCTGAAGGACGCGATGAAGCACGTGGAGCAGCTGGAGTGCAAGCAGCGCACCAGCTTGCGATGGGATGGTAAGGGTCACTCCTCCTTGCATGCCGCTGTCGGGGTCAAATATCTGCTCGCCTTGATTTAGTTATGATGTCCTTTTCAGTTTCTTGCTTACTGTGTCCGCAGGTTAATCAGAATAATAATCTTTATTTAGACTACAAGGAGGAATCCGATGAGCTACGAAGCTAATTTCTGCAGATATCCACTATGGGGATGGGTCAGTCAGTTACAACAACAATAAATAAATAAACGATAGGTGTGCAAAATTTAGAAAATGGTTAAGCAAGTCATTAAATATAAATAAGTAAAAATTTGTATACATGTTTATATAACTCTCTAATCAAGATGTTTTTGTCAGTCCGTTTTATCAAAGCTTGGGCAAAGTAGCAAAAACAGCAGCAATTACATCATCAAAAGTGCTGCTAAGAGAAGTGAGCGGGGCTTTGGCAGGATGGGACGACGGTGACCGATAGTCGACACCGATAACGGAGCAGCAGCGAAGGAACAATGCCTCTGAGAGGGATTACGTCTACCGGGGAGACGGAGCGACGAGATCAGTTTGTGTGCAGGTGTTGGGCGGATTGTTGCACTGCAGGATTGTGCGAGGTGGCTGTGGCCTCAGGAGGCCTTCACTCAGCAGTGGATTGATCATGACTGCTGATGGTGATCTTTTCTTTCTTTCGTACGGCTGCTGATATAGATGCAGAGCAACGTATACAATTTCACGTTCAGGTGGTCAAGCCAGACAATCACGTGAGGAGCACCGGGTGTATAGCTGTAATGATGTCTCCTTCGTATTTGTCGATCGGGTATCGCGTCATTATACGTTGTATGGTCTATTCTGGATGACCACAGTCGCATACAGGAGAGTTTTTAATATTCCATTTGTGCATCAGGTATCTGCATCTGACCCGCTTTGTGCGGATGCGGTTTAATGAATTGCATCCGCTGATGATGGATCTTGGAGAAGTGCCGCTTTGTAATCAAAACTGTATCCTGTCATAGAGTAAAGGCTCCTAACTCCTTTTAAAGAGATTACTTTGAGCACCGTTTACTTTATTTACTCCCTAAATTAAATGTGATTTGCAGTCCATCTTGTGGCAGACGGAACCTTACAGAGCAAGTTAATTTGTGTGGTTGTGAATCTGTGTGGTTGTCAATCCGAAGACGGTGAGTGCACCGCATCTTCACATCGGATCACAGACTCCTTGGTGCCGGGTATCCATTACCTTATCTGGACGACACCAAATCCGCGATGCCACTCGGATACAGTCACGGTGCCTCGTGAGGGAGGTGATGGGGCGCCGAGGTGGCGAGATGTGAACTTACTCGCCTGGTATACAGGAGGTTGTGGATTAGATCCCGACCCTGATGCCTCTATAATTGGAGTTTGCATATTCTCTCCGTTTTCCCTCCACATTTAGAATCAACGTGTGTTTAGAGTATTTGGCTGCTGTAAATTTCCACATGATTAGCCACTTCATTGAGCTATCATTTGTGGCCAGATCGCTTCTGAAAAGAGCTATATAGCTCAGTGGGCTTTACCTGGTAAAATTAAAAAAGTTAGTTTAAGATATTTAGAGACGACAGCAATTCCTCAACTTATATGAACACAACCATAGAGAACTTGGATTGACTGAGCGGACATTGCTCGCGGCTTTGCCTCTGCGGAGGAGGCTTGCAGTGATGAGGAGGCTGCGGGAGCGGTCGTAACCTCGCGGCCGGTGCGAGGAGAGGAGACAAAGCGCCGACCAGGAGTTGAACTCACAGCCTTGCAATCGCGAGCCTTCTCTCTCCACCACTGAGCCACACGGCCAGTTGCCACGGTGCACAGGTGACGTGCAATTGTAAACGCAGCCTCTGGGCCTCTCTCTGCGCTGTGAAGGAGGGCCGTTGCCCGAAACATCGCCTTGTAGATATGTTTAAGGCCGTGGTGTGATTGACTAACGTGAGGTTTTCTTGCTAAGTTGTGCTTGCGCAGCATCACCAAATAATTTCTCGTTCTGGTGCATTGGTGGTTTGTGCGATGGGAAACCGCGTTTGCTTCCAGGTTCCGTGGAGAAGGATTACACGAGCATGTCGACCACTGCACGGCGACCGTGCAGTTGACCTCGCCATCCCTGATGATCCCCATGTGTGTGCGCGCGTGGTATTTGCGTGTGTGCATGTCCGAATACACTGTGCAGTCTGTAAGATGCTGCGGTCGACGGTGGAGCATTTGGACAGATGCACCACAGAGCTGGAGTCGATTGTGGTCCGCGAAGTGGCTGACGCAGGTTTGTTGCTTGATTCCTGAGGTCATTTTCTTATCCAGTTGGAGTGACCAGCTCACGGCAGTCAACTCTCTTATGTCTACTGGAGTCACAGCCAAATGAGCTTACATCACTGGTTTGCCGTATGGGGTTTTCCCGATTTGGCACGGCCTTTCTCATTCACTCGTAGCTCTTGGGGATAAAGATGGCCAATATGCAATGGTATACAACCCATTGAGTCCACATTCCTCACTCTGCCGCCTCGTGTTTGGTCACCTGTAAAGCGGCCGTGTTGGATTGAGTGCACGGCGGAGGCGGCCGGGGAGGAGCAGAGCCTGGAAAGGCAGAGCCTGCATGAGGCGTGCGTTGATCGGCAGCCTGTGTTGTTGACGAGACGCTCGCGGGCCTGACTCTGTGGTTTGCCCGTTACGGTGGTTGACTGGGCCCTGGTGATGTTCATCAGACAAGGTGCATGAGGATGAAGGAGAGCCAGAGGAGGCGACCTTCAAGGAGCTCGACCCCCTGCGCAAGAAGAAGCGCAGACCGGGGCGGCAGCGACGCTGAGCAGTCCGGCTCAAGCACTCGAACTTTGAACGGGGACTCCAGGCTCATGGCTGAGCCTCTTCTGCCCCTGCTACACACACACACACCATTTTCCGGACAAGGCAATGTGGTTATCCAGGATTCCACGTGCCTGCAACATTTTACATTTTTTACAAATTAGTTTGTGTTAATACGTTTTGAAGGGTTTGTCTGTTACACAATATCTACCAATAGGCAACTAGTTCCCATGCCAATTTAAAACTGTTCTTGCTTTATAACATTTTTCATTTCAAGGCCATGGTGGTACGGACCAATGTGGTTGGCTTTTTGCTATTCAGGCTAATAGAGCAAAACGTGAACGACGCATCCGCTGCGTGTCGCGGCGCAGTGATCGCTGAGCGTTCGCAGTCCCCAGGGCGGCGCTGTCTCGGCTCGGGCTGCGCTTCCGCTGTCTCCTCCCCTGCAGGCTCACCCCACTCTCCTCCACAGTGGTACCCTCACGTGCCACTCTCCTCCACAGTGGTACCCTCACGTGCCACTCTCCTCCATGGTGGCACCCTCACGCGCCACTCTCCTCCATGGTGGTACCCTCACGTGCCACTCTCCTCCACAGTGGTACCCACACGCGCCACTCTCCTCCACGGTGGCACCCTCACGCGCCACTCTCCTCCATGGTGGTACCCTCACGCACCACTCTCCTCCACAGTGGTACCCTCACGCGCCACTCTCCTCCACGGTGGCACCCTCACGCGCCACTCTCCTCCATGGTGGTACCCTCACGCACCACTCTCCTCCACAGTGGTACCCTCACGCGCCACTCTCCTCCATGGTGGCACCCTCACGCACCACTCTCCATGGTGGCACCCTCACGCACCACTCTCCTCCACGGTGGCACCCTCACGCGCCACTTTCCACGGTGGCACCCTCACGCGCCACTCTCCACGGTGGCACCCTCACGCGCCACTCTCCTCCATGGCGACACCATCGTGAGCCAAGCTCGCAGTGCCGGAGAGACCGGCGCGAGACGGCGCAACTTCCTTTTTCACGCAGCTTCCCAGAATCCCGAGTAGGCCGCGTCCCACACGTGCTTCTCTTGCCGTTAAACTGAATCGTAGTTTTATGGACCGTGCGTGGGCCTGTGTCCAGGTCATCATTGACCAAAAGTTGGCGTGATGGACATGAATGTAGTTTGTTTTTAATAGTTTACGTGGGGTTTAACTAGTTTTGTGTAACCACCGAGCACGTTAATTTGATGGCGTAGGCGCTTTCTAAGATTGACAATGACATCAATGAAAGAACACGATAGATCATTTAGCAATGAATCTTTCTGCATGGGATTCGCTTCCCAGATTTCTTCCACTGCACAAATTAAGTGAATTTTCTAACATTTTTAATATGTTTTGTTACCTGTCAACGTGATGAATATCAATTCGGCATTCCGTTTTGAGAACACCTTTTTGCATCTTGTCTGTATTCTTAAAACAGCATACGTGGCCTTTTATGTACAATAGGAATGTAGACACGTGAATGATGTCATGCCAAAATTTAATTGTTTTACATTAAAAAGGTCCAATTCACTTCGATTGTAGCCAGCATTCCACCACTTTTTACAGGAATGACGACCGCATTTGCAATCTGAGTGTGGCCCAGAGCGGCCAGGGTGAGGGCGGAGTGCAACGGTGCCGTGGGCGCTGAGGAGTTTCTACCGTGCAGTGCCGTCGTAGTTCACGCTGTCGGGGGGGTGCAGGGACATTTTCATCAAAAACTTTGGAGCAAAAAAAATCGCATTGCTCAAATTGGTGCAGACGGTGATGGAAGAAGCCACAGTTGTACGTGAATACGGTGACTGTGATCATTGATCATGATGGTGATGCTTTTTACGCTGGCTGCTGCTGTTTGATGATGATGGTGTGCGAGATAGAATAATAAAGTCAGTTTGATTTAAACATAGTTACTTTTCATTTTTTTGTTTCACCTTGGTAAATATATGGGTGAAGTGCTGCTGCTCCTGCCACCTTGGTGATGTATTGAGCAGCAAGGTGATTTGTGTGTGAGAACATTTGATGAGGACATGCAGCAAGCACTGACTGCGATCACCATGGGGTTCGCTTGAGAATGCCGCTGACCCCTAACATTGAGGAGCCCAGCGACCTTTTATGGGCCATATCCTGCAGTTCAGAATCCAAAAATCTAAATTCGTCCAAAGTTTGCTAAAAAAAACATTGATTCACAAAGCCCTTAGGCCATTGCACCTACAAGTCGTATACTTGGTTTAAATTGTCAAATAGATCCTTGTTTATTATGTTATGTAAAGCTTTGAGTTGTGATTGGAGGGATCTCTGATCAATTCCTGGAGAAACAATGGAGGTCCTGGATTTAGGGCCACTGATTGACACAACAGACACTGCTTTAGAGTTGCTCCAGATCTGCCACCAAATTCATTGCTGTCTGCAACACGTGTTCATTTCACTGAATGACATGGAAGAAACTGTCTCCTTTATCTTCCCTTTGCATATGCATGTTTTATTGATGCAAATTTAGCGGCCAACCGAGCACAGGTGAGCAAGTCGGTTTAGGAAAGGTTTCTCTACAATCCACGTACATACATACAAACAACCAATCAGATCCTGTAAAAACTAATATTCCAATACAATTATGCCTGGCCGTTCTAGACTCATAAAAATGCAATTGACTTGGCAGGAAACTGACAGCATATCCGCTCTAAAGAGACCAACCCCTGAATATATAATATATTTACAAACATTGCGCGTAAAGAGTTAAATAGATTTTGATTTAAAGCTTTCGTGACTGCAGGGATTCATATTCTTGGTTATTTCGGTAAAGTTACGTAGAAGGGAAACAATAAAACAATAAAAATATGTTTTATTAATCACGTCGCGGGCTTTTATTACTTTATTGTTTCCCTTCTACGTGACTTTACCGAAAATAACCAAGAATATAGTTAAGTAGATGTTGGAATGCGAGTGTCGACTGAGAAGATCCGTGCGTTATCTGTCGGTAATAATCACGTCGCGGGCTTTTTGCAAAAAAATTACAAAGCAGTTACTCCAGATTCCAGCACACCTCATCTTCACGCACTGCCGGTCATCCCCACCATGCTCGTACGGCCCTGACCAAGCGCTCGGCGCATCTCTCTGCGCGGGGTTTTGTGGCATCCCTTGGTGTTTGCGGTCCGTTGTTGCTGCCCGGTTTGGTGTAGAGTACCCGAACAGTGGTCATCCTGTGGATGGAACGGCACGCATTTACACACAAAGCGCTTGCCACAAATTAACCACAGTAAATCGCTGATCTCGTCAAAGAGCAAAAACCATCATCACGCAATCTCCGGTCATCCTCACATCAGCGGCTCCTGGCTAGTCCTTGAACAAAGATGGTCACCACATCGCTCGCTTTACAGATGCCTTTCTGCGGTCGTCTGGAACGCTCTAACTTCCGATATTAGCAAACCACTGGAATCAGGCACTTTAAAGTCTAGATTGAGAAACTAATTTCTTTAGAACTGCTTTTTATGTTTAGTTTGTTGTCCTTCCCCCACACCTCCGATTAGCGCAGTTAGCTATGTTGCGAAGGAAGTTCAACACACGTACATACATACGGTCCTGTCATGGGAATGTACAATTGCAACCATTAAGCAGCAACTATAGCCTCGTAGTTGGCGCACTGCGCTTTGAACCTACGATCTCGTTCAACTCCTGGCCACGGCTAACATCAGTGGCGCGTCATGTCTGAGCCCGGTCCTTGGCACACTCTCCACCCCCTCCCACTCATCAGCTCGCACTGACCAAGTGGTGAAGTATGGCCAATCAACCCCCGTGCCTGCCACGGTGATTGTAGGCCTGCATCCAGCAGTGTGGATCGATGACAACGCGCCGCGGGGAGTCACTATCGGCTCGCATGGCGATGCTGGATTGCGGAGGTGAGGGGTCACCACTGCCCCCGTGTTTGCGTTTAATCTGCGGAACACGCGCAGAATAATTCACTCCCCAACTTCACTTTTCAACTCATTAACAACGCAACCGGTTTTGCGACACCTCTCCGCGTCACCAACCCTCCCCTCCTCATCCTCCTCGTCCTCCCATCGCGCCTATAAGCGCTTCTCCGTCAGCGTTGTCCAGTTCACGGCGCTCGCTCTCTCCCCGGCGTCTTCATCGTTCATCAGGAGAAGCAGGAACGAGGGAGGTGCCCCCGTCAGTCCTCTCGGCGGCTCTGACCCAGGCGACTCGCGAGGAGCGATGGAGAGGCGCTCCAACAGCAGCGGCGGCGGTGGCGGCGGCTCGGAGAGGCGCTCCAAGCGGGAGGCGCGCAACGGCGTCACCTCCCGGAGCGGCAGCGGCTCCAGGGTGAGGAATGCGCCCGGAGGTGGGCACGGGGTGGATGGAGGTGGTGATGGCTGGGTGGAAGTCGGGTTTGGTGGAGTTGGTGCTGGGTGGAGGTGGTAAGCGTGGTGGTTGGTAGTGGTGAGGGTGGTGGTGCTGGGTGCAGGTAGCCTCTTGTCGTATGAGAGGAGCTGCAAGAAACTAACGGAGGTGAGGTAAATGCTCTCTGTGATTGTCTCATTTGTGAGTGTGGTGGGGGCGAGCGGTGGCGCAATGGTTAGCACACTACCAACCACGGCGACCTGCATTTGATTCCTGCCTGCTGCTAACATGAGTGGTACATCACCTCTGAGGTTCGGAACATGACCTGGACTCCCCCTTTGCTCACCCACGCTGACTAGCGCGGTGAAGTATGGTCAGATAACCCCCATGGCTCATACGGAGGATCATGTAGATGTGGGGCTTTCCTCCTCGTGCGCTGTGCCGGCCTTCATCCTGTTAAGCACGGTTGGCTATGTACGGTGCGAAAGAAGTTCAACATAGAGGTACGCACATACAGCACTTGCCCCGACAAGTATGTTAAAGGCTACACGGGGGGGGGGGGTGCCTTTGTCTTTGCGCAGAGCGGCGCTGCGCGGGGCACGCGCGTGGACGCAGCGCCAGGAGGAGGAGGAGGAGGCGGCCGCGTGAGCTCGTCCCTGGTAATCGACGTCGACCAGGCCCTGGAGCAGCGGGCGGCCGACTCGGCCCTGGAGGCGGAGCGCACGGATGAAGGTGCGCGGCGGCGTGAGCGCACGCGTGTGCAGTCACACACATGTCACACACATGTCTCACACGTCTCGCGTCTCGCCTTGACAGGGGCGCCACGGTGGCTAGATGTTAGCCACCTCGCCTGGTATACGGGAGGTGCGTGGGTTCGATCCCGACCCTGACGCCTGCTGTATTTTTGGAGTTTGCATCTTCTCCCCGTGGTCGCGTGGATTTTTCTCTTGGTGCTTCGGGTTTCCCCTCCGTGTTTAGGATCAACAACACGCGTTTCGAGTAGTTGGCTGCTATAACTTTCCACATGATGGGTCACTTCGTTTTCACTTGTGGCCAGATAGCGTCTAAAAAAGGGCGATATTGCTCAGTGGGCCTTACCTGGTAATATAAAAAAAGTTAGTATCGTCACAAAGGCAAAGATCCCCCGTGTGGCCTGAACATGCTTTTTGAGCAAGTGCTGTTAGCGAGCACCTACGAAGGCTGGCACGGCACACGAGGGGGTGGGTGGCCAACACCACGCCCGGCCGCCTTTGTCTCCCCAGTGACGATGTTTGCACGACCGCACCAGGTACTCATCTCAGGCTAAGGTCACTGGTGTTGGGCGTGTACTGTACATGTATCGTTTAATCGATTAATTGATTAAACGATACATGTGGAGTGGGTTCAATTGAGTGGCGGACGTAGTCTTGGAGGCAACACATTTAAACTTTGATTTAAAGCTTTCGTGACTTGGTTCTTTCGGTAAAGTCACGTAGAAGGGAAACAATAAAATAATAAAAATATAAAACAAAATTCTCACGACGTTTCGACTGCAACACAAGCAATCATCATCAGGTGTGAAAACCACAGCAAGAAAATTTTATTGTTTCCCTTCTACGTGACTTTACCGAAAGCAACACATTTATTTAACACCAACACACGGGCTAAATGCCCCTTAACAGAATAAAAACCTGAGGTGGTGATCACCAGGCTAACCGCACTAATTACGACGTAACGAGATACTACGGACCGGGACCACAGCTCGGGTCCAGGTCCACGTGTTGGAGACTCGGTAGGACGTAGACGAAGGTTCTTCAGGATGAACAACAACGCCAAGCGCGATGCCATCCAGCGCGATCAACCAGCGCACGCCGTGCCCCTCTAGGGCCGGCATTACACTGTGACATCCCGCGATGTCACTCCACTGTACAGTCAGAAGGCCGGCACGGCACACCAGGGGGTGGGTGGTCCTGTGTAGGTGCTGCTACTCGCTAACAGCACTTGCCCCGAAAGTCTGTTGAGGCTATACGGGGGATCTTTGTCTGCGTGTGACTGAGCAGCGGTGGTGGTGCTGCGGTTTGGGGCCGTCCATAAATGACGTCACGCACCTGGTGGGGGGGGGGGGGGTCAGACATTTGTGACGATGTGTGACGAGGGGGGGGGGGGGGTTTGAGAAATGTCGTCACATCAAAATGCGCAACTTTTTTAATAAATATAGACAACACGTTCTACTTAATTAAATAGACTTTTTAATACATGTTTTCTCCTACAACATCAGAGTGCAGCGCCACATTAAATACGCACTTCAATGGCAATAGTTTAAAGCGATTTGAAGCATGTTTAATTTTGTGGGGGGGGGGGGCAGAGCTTTGTGACGTCATATTTGAGGGGGGGTCTGACTTTTTGTGACGTGTGACGAAGGGGGGGGGTAAAAATTGTCCAAAATCGCGTGACGTCATTTATGGACGGCCCCTTAGCGCACTGCGCTATGAACCCGCGACCGGAGTTTGATTCCCGCTCACCATCCAACAATTGTGGCGAATATAAAAACATGTCCAACCTTCATCGGTGCTACTCCCTACCAGCATTTGCCCCAGCAGGCTGTCAAGGCTTTTACGGGGGGGTCTTTGTGCATTTGTCTTTGTGTGTAGCTGTCAAGTCGCTGCGTGTCGCCCCCTGCGAGTGGCTGCTCACTGTGCTCGCCGTGCTGCTCTGCATCGTCACGGTCCCCGTGTCGCTCCTCTTCTGCGTCAAGGTGGGAAGTATCAACAAAGACACACCATACATACACACACACCGTACATACACAACAACAACGGCCATTCGCCACTAAGTGGCGGTGACGTCACCACAACGCTTGTGCCAGGCCATGTGCATCTTGAGGCCGCATGAAGTGTCGAAGGCCCGCTGGCAGGAGGTCACGGGGCAGACCCAGTTGCCACGGGTCGACTGACTGAGATGACTGGCTGATGCACCACCTGTGCCCCCTCCTGTGCCAACCTGCTGTGCTTTAGCCACCCGGCGCTTCACTCGTTGTTGTGAGCGTCGCTCCTCCACCCTCCGTTGTTGTTGGAGGGCGACTGCCTCCAACTGCCCAGTAGCGTCCTTCACGAGCCTCCTCCACAGAGGCCGATCTTGACACCGCTGGTACCAGTCATCGACAAGTCCACTCAGCTCCACATCCTCCTGTACCACGTCACTCCATCTCTTCTCTAGCCCGTGCCACGCCTGTTTAGCCCCCTCAATCCGGCCGAACAAAAGCTGTTTGGGCATACGGTGGCTGAGCATGCGGGCTACATGGCCCAGCCAACGGAGCCTTGCCTGCCGGAGGTGCTCACTGATGGGACTTTGTCCAGATCTTTCGAGGATTTGTGAGCTCCTCGCACAATCCAGCCTGGTTAAACCCAGGATTGATCATAGGCAGGCCAGCCTAAATGTTTCTAACCGGCGAAGATGTTCCATTAGGGGGGTCCACGTTTCGCAAGCGTAGATAAGGGAGGGAATGACTGTGACCGAGAAAACCCGAAGCTTCGTGTGGAGCGACAGACCAGGTAGCTTCCACACAGCGTTACGCAACCGATGAAAAGATAATTCCGCTCGACTGATTCGGAGTGAGACTTCTGCTGTTAAACCGGAGCCGGTCATGAGCACACTGCCCAGGTATGGGAAACTCTCCACTCTCTCCACAACTGCCCCATCACCGATTGGGAGTTGTGGGGGTGGAGTGCCCGATGGTACAAAATACCCAGGCAGGTGTTTCGTTTTGGTGGGGCTGATGGTAAGACCCCAACTCTTAGTGGCACACTCCAGTTTCAGCAGCAGCGCCTCAAACTCCTCCTCTGAGTGAGCTGCAATCACCAGGTCGTCGGCATACATAACGTGGTTGACCAATCGGGAGCCATCCCTTGACCGCACCCGGGCATCGATCAGCCTCCCATTGTATCTGTACCAGAAGGAAATTCCTCTGGTACAGCTACTGAAGGCTTCACGAACTACATGGTAGAAATAGATGTTAAATAATGTTGGAGCCAGAGGACATCCCTGTAGCACCCCAAGGTGTACAGGGAATGGCACTGACTCCCGGCCACGTAGTTTTACCCGGGCCTGCTCACCATCATGAAGGTCCTTAATGAGCGTGAGCAGAGGGTAAGGGACTCCGAAAGCACGAAGAACAACCCAGAGCCCAGGCCTACTGATGGTATCATAGGCCTTAACCAGGTCAATAAAGCAGAGATGTAGGTCTTGTTGGAATTCCCTACACCTCTGCTGTAACAAACGGACAGAAAATATGGCATCTGTGCAGGACTGCCCTTTCCTGAAACCGCATTGGGGCTCCGCAAGCCTCTCCTCAGCGTGCCTGGCAAGACGATGTTGAATAATCCTTGCCAGGACCTTTCCCGGCACACTGAGGAGTGAGATGCCCCTGTAGTTGTTACAGTCTGTGCGGTCCCCCTTCTTAAAGAGGGGGACCACCAGGGCATCCTTCTAATCCTGCGGAACCCGTCCAGTGGTCCAGACTGTTGTTATGATGAAAGAAGAGCCACACCATTCAATTAATTACCACTAAACCGCGAATTATCTATATAACTAATAAGCTTGTGCCGGAGGGTCCGGGGGGCCAGGCGTCTATGACGTCTCCTGGCCTAACCCCAATTGGCGGAGCCAGGAGATTGAATATCTACCCTCGGGGCTCCTCCAAAAACAACGAAAAACCACTACGGGTGGCCATGTGGAATGTTCGAACGCTCACTGCGGAGGAGAGGCTGCCACTCCTCTGTCGGGAGCTGGACCGGTACCGCCTGGATCTATGTGGCATTCAGGAGGTCCGGTGGACCGGTTCTGGCTCCTGCCACCATGAGGGGTGGATAGTCCTCTACTCGGGGCAGCAGACTGAGCAACCACACACACATACACACACACATCATACATACACACACCGTACACACACACACCGTACATACACACACACACCGTACATACACACACACCGTACATATACACACACACCGTACATACACACACACCGTACACACACACACCGTACATATACACACACCGTACATACACACACACACCGTACATACACGCACACACCGTACATACACACACACACCGTACATACACACACACACCGTACATACACACTCACACACACCGTACATACACACTCACACACACCGTACATACACACTCACACACACCGTACATACACACTCACACACACCGTACATACGCACACACCGTACATACAAACACACACACACCGTACATACACACACACACACCGTACATACACACACACACACACCGTACATACGCACACACCGTACATACACACACACCGTACATACACACTCACACACCGTACAAACACACACACACCGTACATACACACACACACACACCGTACATACACACACACACACCGTATATATACACACACACACACCGTATATACACACTCACACACACCGTACATACACACACACCGTACATACACACACACACACCGTACAAACACACACACACACCGTACATACACACTCACACACACCGTACATACACACACACCGTACAAACACACACACCGTACATACACACACACACACCGTACATACACACACACCGTATATACACGCACCGTACATACATCGTACATACACCGTACACACACACAAACACAAAGATCATCCTATAGCCCGAACAGACTGTTAGGGCGAGGGGCCGTCCATAAATGACGTCACGCACCTGGGGGGGGGGGGGGGTCAGACATTTGTGACGGGGGGGGTGAGAAATGTGACATCACATCAAAATGCGCAACTTTAAATAAATATAGAATTGTTATAATAACACTAATTTTGATTACTTTTCATTATTAACTATTTGATTATTTAAATTTACTAAGGTCACCTTTTATTTATTCCATGAAGGAGCATTTGCTTCTCCATGGGAGAATGGAGAAGCATACATTTTTTACATTTTTTTAATGATTGTTATTAAACATTTTGATTCTAATGATTCTACCAGGGCTTTTCATTCTGTGGAATTAATATGTGATTGTTATTGTACTCTCCATTTTGCTTCGTTTTACTACAAAGTTTCAAGTATTTTTTATAGTTATAATTACTTTTATTATTTATAATTATAAGATAATTTCAATATAATATTCTGAACATCTGCAGTTTTAGTTAGACGTTGAATATTTTTTTAGTGAATTTTATGCTAAATTTAAGCTTTCCAACGCCTCCTTTTTAATGTGTTTTCTCCTAAATACGCGCTACACACAATGACAATAGTTTAAAGCGATTTGAAGCAGGTTTTATTTTCAAAATGGAAATATGGTTTTGGGGGGGGAGGGGGGCAGAGCCTTGTGACGTCATATTTGAGAGGGATCTGACTTTTTGTGACGCCGTGTGACGAGGACGGTGGGGGTCAAAAATCGTTCAAAATCGCGTGATGTCATTTATGGACGGCCACCAAATGCTGTTAGCGAGCAGCACCTATGAAGGCCGGTACGGCACACGAGGGGGTGGGTGGCCAACACCACGCCCGGCCGCCTTTGTCTCCCCAGTGGCGATGTTTACTACACGACCACACCAGGTACTCAATTGAGGCTGAGTAGACCGCTACACTACCGCTCCCCACACACACAGACACACGCAGAACCACGCCCGGCCGCCTTTGTCTCCCTAGTGGCGATGTTTACACACCGCACAAGGTACTCATTTGAGGCTGAGTCGACCTAGGGGAGGCCCAGGACCGGTTCATATCATCGTCACTGGTGTTGACCGTGAGCGATAATCGAACTCTGGTCGCCGGGTTCGTAGCGCAGCGCGCTAACCGCTACACTACCGCTCCCCACAGATACACAGACACGCACACGCGTTCATGCAGAGGCATGCGCATGAAATTTACGCTTCCAATCTCGTCACTGCAGATTCCCGAACAGATTGAACCTCCGCCTCCTCCTCTCCTCCCACGCGCGCTCAGCTGCTTGTTGAGCAACCACAGCTGCTCGCTGCTGCTGTCCCGCATGAGTTGGAGGCGCTGTAATAACAACGGCAGCGTTATTGCTGTGTCCCTCGTGGTGGGGGGCGGGGGGGAGTTCACGTCGGCCGGACGGCAACTGGGCAAGCGAGGCCTTTGATGATGATGACGAGTATTGGCACGGCTTAGTGGCCGTATTTCTCTTTCAAGAGACATCGGCATCGGTCACAGAACGATCCACTGCCGGATGAGCGCCTCCCCGAGCCACCATATCATCTCCCCGTGCATCTGGCACCGCCACACGAGCTCACGTCGCCACGCTCTTCTGGCTGCCACTCCATCCTTGATCTCGCCCCCCCCCCCCCCCCATAGCCGTGACGCATCCTGACAAAGCCTCGATTACTTTGCCTCAAAAGTGAATCCGACATTTTTCAACCTGCGTGGCGTTCTCCAACCCACGCATTCCTCTTCCTGTCCCCTCGGAGTAATTCTGAGTGTGCGTCTTTCCGCGGTCGTTTGCACATTTTTCAGCACAAAAAATATCACAGCAAGCACCGCAACCGTGAACCCAGCTTCATGAGTTTGATTCCCAGCCGTGGCTAACGTCAGCACTGAGTGATACGTGAAAGTGCTGCACTGACCAGCAGTGGATATTATGATCGGCCGAAATGTATTATAAATACCTGGAGCCGTTGTTGCTTCGCAATGGAAAATAAGAGGCAGCTGCTGTCATGTTCACAGTTCTCTCACGATCCTCCTGTACACGGA